ACAGCAGAGCTTATTGCAAGCTTGTCGTGGAGCATGCCCGGAAGGCAAGAAGGATAAAGTCGTTGAAAAAACACTGGGTCGCACACAGGGCAAGACGCTGAAACCCCTAAGAACTGGGGATACCAGTCACAAAGCACGAAGAAGATCGGCAGGCCCACACTTATGAGCATGCTCGCAGAAGATACCCGAAGCTAGTATCACAAGCAACGCTGCCTCCAGCACGGGGCACCACTGAGACATGAGCAGGCTCACAAAAACTGCTAAGAATCATATTGAGGATACTGAGCTCCTAGCACGTCAACTTGATTACAGAGCTCGGCCAGAAGCTATGCGGTCCACTCGGGATACGTCAGAACCATTCGGAAGTCACTGCTGGCAACCCAGACCAACATGCTTTCCCAACTGAAAGCAGCAAAGCCACCCATAGTGCTGCCAGAAGGGCTTCACCTTGCTGTATCAGGAGTAGCTAAACGGACCGCGCTTTCAAGCTGAGATTCCACGAAAGTGGCACAGGCAAGTTGCGGCCAATTTTGCAGCGCATACCCCAACAGCTCAGCTGCTCGCAAAGCAACTACTAACTACTTGAGCCGAAAAAGGTCACCACAGCAAGGCCGTACATGTTCACTGAAGGAGTGCAGAATGATGCTGAAAGAAGCTCTGACCTGCTCTTTGGATGAAGATAGCTGTGTTGAAACAACACCAAGAGGGTCCTCCGCACGCGAATAACGACCTTGCCCACCGTGGAAGGTTTCGAGGAGAGAATAATCCTCGACGCCGTTTGCTAGTTGCTCTGTTGAAGCTTTCCCGATTCTGGGGGCCTCCCGGCACTGCAGCAGCAACTCCTCCCGTTTCGACTTCAGCGCCTCGGGGGAAGGCTTAGCGGTCACTGCGAGTCGACCACAGCGGAGAAAGTTTTTCCTCAGCTCCGAGCCTGCACCTGCTCCTTGCTGCACTTTTGGGCCACCACACCGTGAAGCTCCTCACTATTTCACTGTATCGCAAAACGGAGAGCAGAAAGGGCAACCGCAAGGCCAGGAAGAACTGAGCACCCTGCGCCGCAGCCAGGCAAAAAGACCAATTTCAACTCAATCTCTGCTTCTTCAGGCTCCTCCTACGATGGAAACGAATGCAACTACCCAATCTAGTGCAAGAAGCACGGCGGCATGGGGGTTGGTCGCAACGCCTTGTGTTTCTTCTGCTTCTTTTTTTGCTTTTTCCGGCTGCGAGACTCCTTCTGATGCTGGAACACCTGGGGCGGGGCGGTCGGCAAGCCATCGACGATAGCCACACTGAAATCATGCTGCTTGCCTCGACGCCACTGAGTGAATCATGCAGCTCGACTCGCAAAGGAGCCCAGGCCTAGTGGCGAAAGGCTGCGTTGAACAAGCTACAAGCATTTGGAATCCTGTCTGGGGTTTTGGGCCATGTCAGATGCGTCGTTTCTCTCGTCATCTGTTGTACTGACTGATCGCGTGTCGTTTGTTCGTGCCTTTATTCGGTGGTTCGTGCGTGCAAGCATGTTGCTTGACGGTGTCTGCATGGACTTTAGCAGCTAAGGACATCTACAAGCAAATGTCGGTCGGAAATTTACGTATGTGCGACCCAAGAACACATATGTGTGAACGTTCGTATGCATGAATGATTATCCGTAATGATTATCCGATTATGTATGTAACTGTCTGCAGCTAGGTAAGTAGGCAGGTCGGCAGTGACGGGGTGGGCGGGCCAGCAAATAGGTAGGTAGGCAGGCAGGTAGGAAGTACATAGGTGTACACACACTGAGACAAGAAACACATCAATAATCTCCCAACACCCTTGGGAGCGTGCTCCAACCAGCGACCGCAAACACGTGACGACGTCTTGCCGATCCCAGGGTACCTGAAGGCATAAACCGTCGCTGACTCTGGCAGGTTTGAAGTTGACGCGAGCACAGTAAGCAAAGTGCTAAAGTCTAAAGGACAAGCAGGCCGCACTGGCACAGTCGGAAGCGGACGTCGGTCGCGAAGGGCTTCGACAACCTTTCAGACTTTAGGATAAAGTCTCTGATCTGGATTTGCTGGCTGGACACAAGCCTGCCTGGCCCAAGTAGCCCTCAGTGGCCTGCAGACTTTTGCCTGGAGCGGTCGGCAGGGACTAAGCGTAGCAAAGCAGTCTGTCAGGCGGGGGAGGCCCGTCGCAAGGCTTGTGACCTCGGGCTTGGGGATGCAAATGCAAGCCTTCTACGTCTTCAGTTCAGGCCTACAGACTGCTCGGCTTTCACTCTGATGTAGCCGGTTTGAGAGCTCAGATCATGCATGTCATGACCTGATTACCCACGTCAAGACCTGTCTGCCCGACGGGATTCCGGGACACCACCGCCGCGACTACTACCGCTTCAACCTGTCAATTCACGCGCGCTTCGCCTCCTCCGTCTGGTCTCTCCACGGTTTCATCCTGTCTTGAGTCATCGCTAAAGTCTAAAGGCATCTAAAGCATCTGGGAAGTGCCCCCTCTTTGCGCTCACACGCTCACGCAAAGCGCGCCTCCTGCTCCGCCGGGTGGACGGTGACGGCGGCCAGGTCTCGTGCGTTGAGGCCCGGGGCCAAGGCCCGCGCCAGAGCTCGGAAGACGTCCTCCCGCTCCTTGTGGAGCTCTCCATGCATAGCCTCGGCCTTCTTCAACTCTGCTGCACGGCGAGACATGCCAGCCTGCGAGTTTTGGATACTTCAGAGAGAGAGGAAGCTGACATCGAGAGGTGAAGGCAGAGGCTCTCACCTCGGGCTTGGCCAAGTATCGCAGCTCATCCTCAAGGACCTTTCAGCTACAAGTGAAGCTACTGCGGCCGCTGCGGCTTTCGTGTCACACGTCCTTCCACCAGATCTTTCGGCCACCAGACGTTGCACTCGAAGCCGACAAAGCGGCAGCAGCTTTGTCTGCCTATGTACAGCTTCACTCGGGCTGGGCCGCGTGGTCCCGAACCTGGTTCCAGACCTGCCGACACTTTCTGACTCTGGCAACGCTCGCCCCCGCCTGCTGACTCACACTGCCCAGGGCCTTGAGAAAGGCTTCGAAGTAGCCGATCTCCGTATACGGCAACCCCAACCTAAGAAGAGAGCTCATTTCATGAACTGTTCAACAATTGTCAGAAGCTTATCCCAAAATATCCTCTCGGAATAACAAACTTCAAACAAGTCCTCTTGGAAGCAGAGGAGCTCTCGACAGGTTGCCTTCACGGTGCGCGAAGCTTCCTGCAGGTGGACGAAGCTCATGGCCGGCCAAAGGTGGTGCTCCACCTTTTGCAAGTTTGGGTAGTTCTCAAAATTATGGTCTCTTTTTGGGAACCCTAAATATTGGGTGCCGTATTATCCGAGGGACCCAAAAAGGGACCCTAATTTTGACAACCACCCATTTAGCAACCCTTGCGAGAAGACCAGAAGAGAGTGCTCTCAGACGGAATAGCCTGCAAGCTGTCACCATGAAACCTAAGGTTGACAGGCCCAGTGACATCCAAGGAGTCTTGCGCTGCAACCCCGTCTGAGATTCGGACATGAGGAAATCGAAAAGACGCGCAGCTGCGCTCGTGAAGCGAAGGTTAGCAGTTGTTGAAAGCTGCTGCTGCACGAAGTCCTCCAACATCTGTGCACAGTCTGCACAGTCGTTCTGAACAAGTACTTAACTTCAAGCAACCAGCATCTGCCTCGTGACCGGGCGCGTCCGGCCTCAGACACGGCAGCCACGGTAGTGAAATCGAAATCACCCTGTTGAGAATCTGTGTGTCGAGACAGGTTGTGTTCTAAGCCGCTTGCATCAGGAAGTGCTGAACCTGCGGAGGACTTGGAGTGCAGATGCCCAGGAACGCGATTGCATTGTGACAGCATAACAATGAGCTTTCTACGGTTGACTCGGCACCTCAGCAAACGGAAGAAGAACCAGTTTGGCCACTGCTCTGCTGAGGAGCAATGCTGCCAAAGCGTGCCAGAAGGGCCTCGCGAAACGGTACCATTTATCGACCGCGCCTGCTTGTTTTGAACCGAGCTGGCGGCTGGAAGAAGAATGAAGCACCCTGGTAGCCCGGGCTGAGGAGAGCCTTTCTGAGAGCTCCGGCGAGACGTTACGTAGCCTAGTGCGAAGCCCTGCGGTGCCTCCGCCCACCAGGAGGCCACATCCTTGCAACGCTCCAACAGCTTTGCCTTGCTGGCGGGCGGCTCGAGGACCTGAAGCGGCAACTGGAACTGGGCGAAGGCTTGCAAGGAGCCTTCAGCGACCTGGGAGGCGCCGTTCATGCAAGTAGACAGCATGGTGAAGATCTCCTTGGGCATCAGCTCTGCTACAAGGTGCAGTCTGAAGGCAGTGGAGAGCATGCTGCCGAGCTTCGGAGACTGGCTCCAAGACACACCGGATCGGAAGCCAATAGAAGGTCTGCCAGCTCGGCAAAGCGGGCAAGTACTAAGTTTTACGAAGTCACTTAAGTACACTAGCAGCACGGCTAGAAGATCAAGCTCAAGAATTACAAGAGATCCTGCCAGGCGTTGTACGGCTGCCAGGGATTGCACGCATGGCGCCGAACCCAGTTGCGGCCGACGGCAAAAACGGTCCAGTCAGGATCTTGCCGGAAATTGTTGGTGTGCAAGTGGTGTTCCATATGTTGCGACATCGCGGGTGGATGTCCTCCGTGAGAGCAACAGTACATGCGCATGCGAAAAATCAGTGTGTAACATGCCAGTCCTTGATAGTGGTCCAACATGTGGTGACAGAGCACTGCATAGACACGAAGCAGCTGATGATGCAGCCACGGAGAATACCTGAAGTCTCCGTGGACTGCCTTGGCTGCCCCAGGAATTGAACTCCGCGGCAAGCTAAAGAGAACCTGGAGCTCAGGCTGCGGCGCTATGCAAAGCGGCATCTAAATGCCTCCACCAAAACCAACTGCTCAGTACGTTCAGCCAAAACCACCCTCGGCTTCAGGAAGCTTACATCGTGCTGTGGCCAAGGCTACGCGATCATGACGGCGCATCACGATAAGCTTCGCCGAGGAGCCCTGCACATATGTAAGGAACGCCCAGAAGCCAAAAAGCAGCAGCATGGAAACAGCTGTCGCCTGCACAGGAAGAGTCGATCGACCCTGATCGGCGGTAGCTTATTTACTTTTGCTTTTCATGCCTCTGCCACAGGCATCGTTGGCTTCTTCAGGAGATGTGATACCCTTTTGTTGAGCTCGGCCCGAAACCCAACATCTCCTTCCTGTCAATGAAAAGATGGAGAACAGTCTGACAGAATGCACAAAGGTTGACACCCTGATCCTGGCCTTAAGGCGTTTCCGGGGTCTCTGTGTAGAGAAATGTCCGACAAAATACTTCTCGAGCGCGACTTCTGCGGCTTTCGATGCATGATGAGCTCGGAAGAGGTCAGTAGCTTCCTGACCCACAGCCGACCAAATAAGACGTCCCCCAGGATGAGCTGGGATGAATCCGTCAATGGCCTCAAACTTTGCAAGCAGTGAATCACGTTCACGTGATGCCGAGTGCAGCCCAAAGGGCAAGCACTTTGCCGTCGATTATGGTCCAATCGAAGTCTGCTTCCGCCAGATCTTCAGCCGTCCAAACAGGAGAGACTGCAGCATCCGGCTGCCTGCAGGCAGGAGCAGACGACAAGCACATTGCTACAGCACATTCCTGTGCAGGGCTTGCACCTCGACAGGAGTTCAGATGAACAGGAACAATCCAGCTCGGAGGTCCTAGCATGTCACATCCAAGACATCCTGCCGATCGTTTGAACCCACCAATTGATGCCGCTGCTGCGGTGTCCTAGGCCGCTTTCTCGGCTGGATACTCATGTGCTCAGGCGAGCTTGACATGCTGGATGACTTAGACTCGTTTGTGGTAAACTGTGTCAGGCTGCTTGCAAACGGTCTATGGCATCTGCTTATCTACCAAGTGTTCGAGGAAGACACTCTCTTCTGTTCCACGTTTGTGTGACACGTCACTGTCAAGCAGAACGCTTTGCGGCGAGTCGAAAAGTATTCTTTACGGCATCGGCAATTGACAGTTCATTGTCCTTCTTGCGTCTGCGCAGGTCCGACTGACACCCTCGACGGATTGAGGGCCGAGGGCCGAACCAGCTTCTGACTTTTCGTGGCATGGCGCCACAGCTCCTGGTGATCTTGGAGCTGACGGGTCACAAGCACAAGCACCTCGGCCAGGGACCTGAAGCGTCTCCACAGTCGCATTGTTGTCGTCGCTGACTAGGCGGTAGATGCCTCAGACGAAGGGCCGCTGACTCGGCGGGCCAACCGATCAAGGCCGTCACAAGCATAAGCTGAGATGAAGGCTCTCTCGCAGTTTGGAGGCCTCCGTCTGAAGGCCTTGCCATGTCCACCAAGCCAGTGCAAACAGACTACACTTTGGGCTGGGGAAGTCTTCCTTTCTGCATGGATCGTCAACATGCAGTTTGGGTACGGAGCGTGCGCTCGCTGCATCACGCTCCCCCCCGCAAGATATTGCGAACAGGAGTGCGTTACTCGTAACAGAAAGGTGGGCCCGGGTACTTCAAGGACCTTGGGACAGCCTTGAGCTGCGTCCGTAGCTTGATCCGGGCCCTCCATAACTTGAAGGGCTCAACTTTGGAGTCCCTTCTCAGCTTCTTCGCGGAGTCCTCGTTGACCTGAGTCGGTGGCCAGGTTCGCAATCACGTTAAGGACTGGCTTCAGAAGTTCTTGCTCTTCCTGCTTGTCATGCTACGTTGCCACAGCAGCACTTCGAAACCTGCTTCTGCACGGAGTTCTAGTCTGATTGACCGATTGCCTGCTGACATACCGCCCGTCTATGCAAGCGCGAGTCGCCCCGAACACAGCAAGGAAGATGTTCAAGGGCATTCACGCAGCCCAGGACTGTGCATCAAACAGAAGAATTGTGAGGATTGCTAGGCTTCTGCTGCCACACAGCATTCGTGCTCGACTTACATAGATTTATAGCTCCGTTCATTCTATCAGCTAATGTTGGGTCTATGACTTTGATGGCGAGGCAAGCCAAACCACGAAGCCTGAGTATGCGCGAATCAAAGTCTATGCTGCGCTTTATACCAAGCCTGCCTGTAGGAGATGCGAAACAAAAGGTAGGGCTCAGGCAATCAGTGACGTGTGGGACCTGCCAGACGAGACTGCATCTCAAGCTACAGTCCTGGGAGCAAGGACTCAGTTCTTCCACATATAACTCATGTGTTATTTCTGTGATGCTTTATGCACCAATGCCTGGCGGTGTCGGCCAATCTCTGGCCATGTGCAGCTGTGCCCGAGCTTCCACCAGGTCAAACTCGAGCTGCCTCATCCTCCGAGGCAGAGCTGCGAGTGCAGGCTGACTTCAACGCACAAAGCCCCTTGGAGCGCATGGTATGTCTTCTCTGCAACTTCAAAAACTTGCTACTGTATTTGGACCCCTGGGTCCTGGACATCTCCAATTCCGGCGCAGGTGCAGCGGTGCGAGAGGGACCCGAACTTCTGAAGCATGAGCAGCAGTCTGCGACTGCGGCGCTGAACCTGGCAGCAGTATGCAGAAGGAAGAAATGTGGTTCACGACGTTGGTCGGTCTCGCGTTTCCCCGATCTGCCGAACCGAGCTGCCGATGAATGATGATGGCTGCGGAGAGCAGTATCAAGGCGACCCAAGGAAGGTTGTGCTGAAGGTAGTCTTTCCACCTGCATGGGTGAGAGATGGTGAGAGCAACTCATCATCAGCTGATGCTGCGCTCCCAGGGCGCTCTGCAGCAGGCCCGCCTAGCTTGTCTTTCGTCGAAGGTGCGCCTTTCTGCTTCCTGCGCCTGGCGAAAAGGACAGTTCACGGTACGCAGGCGAACTACGAAAACGATGTCCTGCTTTCAAGCGCTCATCGCAATTCAGCCCGGAAATCTGAGCACTGGAAGGACACTAAAAATGTGTCCCGCGCCTTTCGTCTTGCTTCATCTGCCTGGGTCAAACACTACATTGGAACTGATTATCCGCGAAGGGGTGAAGCCATCCGGAGGCCTCGTGCTGTGCCGCATCGGCCCGCTGTTTTGCCGCATCTGCTCGCTGTCTTGCGGCATCTGCCTGGTGTCTTGCTGCATCTGCCGGATATGGAAAGGGAATGGCCACATTGCAGCCGAACTGGGCATGCGAAGAGAGATGCATAATCTACAAGTGTTGTGAACATCCCCGGCCTGCCGCCTTGCATCCTCTGCCTCATCCGGAGAGCCAGGCAGAAGACGTGCAGTCCGAGTCCAAAGGCCATGTTAGCCAGCAAGTTCTGGGTTGGAGGTATGTAGCACAGTAGCGCGCCCCTCTCAACCAGCTCAGCGGAATCACAATCATTGCCATGACATGACGGAGACAAGCCTGCTGCTCGGCTTCGTGAAATCTCTGGTCCACCTGACACGTCGGTGTGCACCCTGCCTCACAACTTCCCACGCAACAGTGCAAGGCTGCTGCGGCCTTTTCCATCCCAACCGAAACCACGACTGTATTCAACTATTCATGTAGCCGAGCATTCCTTGGCCTAGATCCTGGGTTTTAAGCTTTGACTCCATTATTCTGAAGTCCTTCAATCGCAAAGCTTATGCGTGATAGACCTAAACTGCGTTGAGGAGGTCTGACACTGGTTCTTGTGTATGTGCCCTACGACAAAGCGCTCGGAAGATAAGTTGTACTGTACGACTGGCCCCAAGCCCCAAACCCTAATTCCGTCATATTCCGTCGTCTTTCAGCTTACGTCAACTCTCGAGCAACATACTCGCCAAACGACACTGGGACCGATAACGAGCTCCAAGTACGGTCAATTGCATGATTCAGCAGAGCCAAACTCCAATGCCAGTAGCTGCTATGCAGTCTGATCGCGGTGCCTCCAGGAGCACTTGGTCTTTGAAGGGGACAACTACCTCGCTCATCTCTGCACTCTTGCAAACTGACCCGACTGAGAAGGCGCTCCGATCTCGTTTGGCTGTTGGACACAGCCCGATCGACTCGGAGCTTTCAATCTAGCCCGCTGCCTCTGTTTTTGCCGAGGGCTCAGTTTAGCAGAACCGGATCTGACAAAACCAGACCGGAGCGAGGACGAGAGGACTCGTGTCTCGAGGAGTCTGGGATGGCTTGATCTTGATGCCCGCATGTTACATACAGAGCCATTCAGGGGCCTCGGAAGGAGCTCAGCTTCTTGCCTGTTTGAATCGACCCCGATGAACAGAAGCATACGGAAGCCGTAAGAACTGCTGCTGTCCAAGGATCCAGCGCCCAGGTGCTGGCCTTCATTCTTTCGCAAGCCTCACGTGCTTTGCCGCTCGGCCTGAGGTTCAGCCCCTCGAAGAAGTCATCCAGCTCGTGCGTCGCATCTGCCATCGCTTCCACTAGACCTCCGGATTTCCTTTCCACAACGGCCTTCAGCCTTGCCTCCAGATCATCTATCTTGTCTTGCAGCTGCTTCTTGCAAGCATCAATCGCGATCTTCTCCCATAGATACACATTGCTCAAGGGGCCAATCTTGTTCATCTCCTCAACACCCCACTTCAACAACTGCCGAAATGTTTGGGGTGTTATTGCGCGTCCACGACCATCGATTCGAGCTCGGCTGACGTTCCAGATCTTGTTTCGCAGAAGATCAATGTCATCCAAAAAAGTCTGGCCGGCTTTGTACTTCGGGGAGCTTTCTTCCTTGTTGAAATCAACAAGATTCTGGACTTTCTCAATCAGTTCATCGGGTGTCTGTGCATTATCCATATGACGCTGGAGCTTCTCGTACATGGGCAGCTCGTAGATGCTCAGATAGTCGAAGTGGAGCCCAAGTCCCTCTTTGTGGACAAGCTCTATATAGTTCTCACTGACTGTCTTGATGACTTCGGGCTGTGCAGCCAACGCCTGCTTCGTTATCTCGACCGCTTTGGCCTCCTGCTCGTCATGACTCAAATGGACGGGCATGACATGGGCAACTAGGAGTGCCGGGAAGTTGTCGTTCGGCCCTGCATCTCCCCTCGTGGCAACAGGCCGCTTGAGCAATGTGCTCCGCACTTGCGAGACAAACGAGGCAATGTACTCGAGGTCGGAAGCCTGAATGGTTGGGGTGCGCCTGACCTGGACGAACACAGAGGTAACTTCGGAAAGAAGAGCGAGAAGCTTCAAGACTGCCTGCACAGGCGTTTGAAGTGCTAATATGGCTTTCGGAGACCGGGGCTGTGGGATGGTGCTAAATTCGTCAACCGGCCTCCGCAACCTTCTGGTCTTGCTCGCTGTTGTCGAAGCCCTCAATGTCCAGTATTATGTAATGCCTTCCATCAGCGTCCACCACAGGGGATCCCCAAAGACCACGCGTGGGCTCGTGCTGCGGGCCAATGGTTGAGCTCGGAAAGTTCGTGGGAACTCCCATAGAACAGGACAAGAATCTGCAGGTAGTGGATTTGCCACCAGATGTTGTGCCGAATAAAGCAACAACCTGCAGAGGGAACTTGGAAGAAGGGCCATCATAGAGGCCGTTGTCAATGAATTCAATCTGCCCGGTTGCGCGAGTGACTCGAAACATCTCGATCGCCTGTGGCTCAGAGTGTGCTCGCTTAACACGATTTCAGCTAGTTGTCTAGTGAATGTGCGTTTTCGTGGACTTTGAGCCCTGCAACATAAGGTGGCAAATGATCATGAATGGACTTCTGCAATTACAAACGCTCAACAGACATGAAGCAATGTTCGTATAACGTCTGCCGCAGTGCCCGCGAGATGATACGAATGTAGCCGGACCTGACCACGCTTGCGAAATCGCTCGCACATGATCACACGATAACGACCCATTGTGCCTCATCGCGCCAGAGTGTCCGAGTATGTAGGATAGTTTGTCAGACGTGAAACGGTCGTTGCATCTTGGCCCGCCCATGCCTGATGATCGCGGTCTCGTCGCCGTTCATGAAGATTTGGTTACGATTCCGGGCTCTCATACGTGTGTCAGTGCGTCTGCATTCATATACTGCACCTTTACTTACTGTTTTCTTCCAGTCCGGCTGCTGTTGCGAATGTCTGCAAGCATCCGTGTGCAGCATGTGAATGTGGGTATATATGTGTGTGTCTGTGTGTGTGTGTGTGTGTGTGTGTGTGTGTGTGTGTGTGTGTGTGTGTGTGTGTGTGTGTGTGTGTGTGTGTGTGTGTGTGTGTGTGTGTGTGTGTGTGTGTGTGTGTGTGTGTGTGTGTGTGTGTGGTGTGTGTGTGTGTGTGTGTGTGTGTGTGTGTGTGTGTGTGTGTGTGTGTGTGTGTGTGTGTGTGTGTGTGTGTGTGTGTGTGTGTGTGTGTGTGTGTGTGTGTGTGTGTGTGTGTGTGTGTGTGTGTGTGTGTGTGTGTGTGTGCGTCATGTGTCTGCCTGCGTCTGTTCGCGCATGGGTTCTGACTGAGTGCCATCCGCTGACATGTGCTCTCGCTTTGCGCAATGCCTGTGCACGGGTGCATGCATGCAGTGAGGTCCCGACAGCGACAGCCTATAACATCGCGATGACTGGATGAGCTGAAGAGGCCTAGCAATCATCGTTCTGGCCTGGTTCCAAGCAGGCAGGGCATGTCCATGCACCAGCCAAACGAGCCGAAGCAGCCAAAGACTCACGGCCATGGCTCGATTGCTTCACTTTCTGCTCGATTAAAACACTCTTATCATCGGGAGCACATATGCTGCACATATAGCACAGCTATCGAAGCCACGATTGACCAGTTACATGACCAGTTACAGCGCATGCTTCTGCAACTCAAGCCCATCACGCAAAAAGTGTATCCAGACTTTACATGCAGGAAGGTCTGCGTCAAGGTGGCGAGTGCGAACAACTAGTGGCGGCCTAGGAGTCCTTTTCCACATTCCTTGGAGATGTAACCTGAGCAGTGGGACACGGCATCATCCATTACACATGTCCTCGTACCTTAAACACGTGACATTCGAAGAAATCCAACAGCAACGGCCCTTTCAATTTTTTCCAGCGGCAAGGGCCCTCTGTAGAGGCTCTTATAAGCCATGCTCCCCAGTGCATGTTGATAACATCGCACTGGCCAGCTCCTTCGCCATAGTTCCTTCATGTATTTTCCATAATGTTACTAAATTACATATAACTTATAACATATGCGTATGTACGTGAAAAGTTCGGAAAACCGGTTCAAAACATCAGTGCGAAAAATACTCATCAACTTAGCCCCACACACAAAATAAGCTCAAACCTTAAACCCTAAAGGCTTAAAACCCTTGAAACCCCACGAACCCCAAAGACCCTGAAAACCCCAACCCTGAAGCCTTAAAAGACGGCAACCAAGTAGAATCAAGCAATGGATGAACGGAGCGTGCTTCTAACCTACGGATTACAAGCGGCCTGACGGCTGTACGGAAAGATGAGACCTGGGCAAGCTAAATTCACATCATTCGGGACTCTAGACAACCGCAAGCCTATCTCCAATGTGGTGGGTTGTGGGCGTTGCGTAACATCCGTGATAGAAAGGCCCCAAAAAACCGTGTGGGGATGCGCGGGGTGAAGCGAAGCTGTGCTTGGCCCATCTTGGCCCTATATGGCTGCTCGCAGGGTGAGCTCCTGGTATTGGCACGACGATCCGATTGAAGCTTGAGCCGTGGATAGCTGGGTACGTTTGGAAGGCGTGTGCATTGGGGGGGAGGGCGCTGGGCGGAATTCTGTAGACCACAAGTTCAGAACAGCATGAGGTCCAGATGGCCACAAGACCGACAACTCTATGAAAACCAAACACACGAAAAGTGAAAAAGAAAAACTGAAAATCTAAACCAGAGCCTATGGCCTATCCAGGAAATAAAACAACACAGACAAATCAAAAAAACACTATGGAACACACGTCAAAAACAAATGTGAATAAACTGAAAACCACATGATAAAAAAGAACAACATTAACAAGGCTTACACGATTAGCTCACGTCATTTTACCAAAATGTTTGGGCCGCTTTTTGTAAATCTCTGGATTTCACTCCTACTGGGCCTGGAGAGACATCAGAGACGGAACCCAATGTAAGAAAAAGATAATGCAAACAAGTTTTCAAACCAGCTTAGATTGCTTTCCCACTGTGCGTTTGATTGACTCCTGAGTACCTGGACTCCATCTGTGATCTCAAAGTGATCCCACTATGCAATATTATTCAGCATTTCACGTGTTGATTGGATTAACAGGACCGGGACCATCACAAGCACAAAGATCATGAAAGGCTCAGCGGCCAACTGACGAAGGGATGAAGCCGCCTGCCCCCAGCTGGGCGAGGCTCTTTGGCTCGCATGCGCGGGTAGCAGCGGAATTCATAGAGCACCTCGCAGCTTGCAAACATGTCAAATCTCGCTGACACAACCGTCAAATCGACTCCTGATCTGAAACTCTTCTCAAACAATTCCCAAATCCGCAATGACTATTCTGACAATTCTCTCTAGCTTGGACCTGAGAAAAACAGCGAGAAGTGAGAGCTGTCCCTAAGACTCAATGGTCGGCTCCTACGTTCCTGAATGGGCGGCAATAACTATCAGACATTTCATGAACGGCATCAGTAACGCCGCAAAAAAGAACGAAGCATACCGTGCAGCTCTTAATCGAAGTTCAGGCTGGAAGCTGCTGTAGAGCTTTTGGGCAGCTATCTATGCGTGCCGCATCGACTGGACTGTGCCCGTTGCGCCTCTGTGCAGTCCAACCCGCAGAGATCACACCGAAGGTCGATGTCTCTAGCAAGTTTCGTGTCCACCGGCACTATTTCTTCAGCATTCCTTGCAAGGGCGAGGCCGTGGACATGGGGATGAAAGAAGAAAAAACTGAAGCCAGGTTTCCAGGTGTACTTCTTCGTCCGTTGAGCCGGCTCGGCCTCCTTCGTCAGATCACCTGCAAATCAGCGCAAGGCACCGTGCTGACGCACAATTCTGGTGGAATTCCTCCACATCTCGCACAAAGACAGATGACCTTTGGTCCAAATGCCCAGCCTTTGCTGCCAGCCTCTCGCCCTCTGGCCAAAGCGACCCAAACATACTTGGACCGCTGGTCCTTCATGGCACGAAGGAATGCTGGAATGTCACAGGTGCATCGCGAAAGCTGGAGAATATGCAATCAGATGCGGTCCTTGGCGACTGGAACGTCTACGCCATCGCTAATCAGCTGCTGAATCTCACGGCTCTGACGCGGCACTGCCTGTCCAGCCTGTAAACCAGCTGCTTCGCGTCATAAAGTTCTGGATGATTGCTGCATGGATGCAGCCGTGCAGACACTCCTGTACAGCTTGCAACTTCGAATCTTGCCTGAGGGGGATCTTCTTCATCGTCACCAATGTAGCCGATGACGGCATCCCGAAGTGAATCCTTCTCTTTGGAGGCAGGGTACTGCGGTTGTTTTGCAACTGAGAGGTATTACGGTCTTACAATGTCTTACATATATCGCCGTGCCAAGACGGCACCTCGGGGGCCCATCGAGTTCGCCGATTGGCCGAGTTCTTGGAGGTCTGCTTTCTGGGCAGCTCTGCATCCCCTGGCAATGTCGGGAGCAGAGTGGCCACGCATCGAGAAGCAGTCTGCGTTCTGCGAATACACTCTGCAGTCCTTCTGCTCGTGCGTCAGCAGCATTTGCTACTTGGCCCGATTTTTGCACATCGCTGGCCTTAGTGCAATTCCGCGGCATGCTGCGCACAGCTGCTGCAGGCACAATCAAAGCACTCGCATCTCTGGCGCGAACCGCCGTGCTTTCTTTAGCATCTGCCGGCCTGACTCTCTTCCAAGGAGAAGGTGAAGACTCCGGCCTTGCCTCACCACACGACAGGGGCGACGCCTTTTCTTGGTAGAACCTGCAGCGGCCACGAAAGCTGCCGACCCGTGGGCATCTCGCTCGAAAAAACTCTGCGAAATTGTGCGAAGGCCGATGCTCTGCCCGGCATCGCCAGCCCCAGCCGCTGCCTGCTCAGCAATAACATTCAGGGACGGCGTTCGTGCTTCCTCGGTGCCTTCCGGATTACACTCTCACACACAACTTCACCAACTTGCAACTGGAAAGCATCGAAGCGCCCCATTGTGCAAAAGCACTTAGGTTTACTGTAATCCCATGGCCATAGCTGATTTAATACTCAAGACATTGTAGCAGTGATGACAAAACCAAATGCCGCCAAGCTTCAGCCCGCTTTGCGTTTCGCGGCGGCATGCGGCCGAGCCATGTGCGGTCTATTCGCCTTGCTTGATCATTACTATGATGACTATGCGATGGCTGCATTCAGAGTTCGCGCTTGCAGTACCTGGATCTGCTGCCGCCACTGCCACAGCTTGCTTTCCCGAGGCTGGCTGCAAGAACACAAAGCTCTGGCTACGGCCATGCCAGGATCCTTCGCTGTGACCGTCATGCCATGAACACTGAAGCTTGGTCACAAAGTGCAGCTGTGCCGCTTTTCTGAGCAGAGGTCCGCTGAGCGTCTGGCTTGCACTACCGAGATTTAGCACGGCACAGGCTCAAGAACAAATCAAACAACTGTGCCCCTATCTTTTATTGCTGTGAGTTGCCACTGCAGCACGACGGAGTTGCAGTTTTTGTCCGCGGCCGTTACGGCCCATGTTAGTCCGTGACTGCTTGCTAGACTGCTCCGAACCTATGGTAGTTCCTTTACAAGCCTTACGCTTTCAGCCGACGAATTGGCTGTCAGACAGATTCGCTCCGCAGTTCAGAAGCTTCTTCAGCACCTGCAGAGCGGCAGTGTCACCAACGCAGGCAGCAGCGAAAATTGCGGCAGACATGGTCATCCGTATCAAAACCAAAACACGCCCTTCCAGAAATGCGACAAGAACCTGGAGGCTGTCGATCTCCGACCAGAGCAGGAGCCGCCTCTGCAGAAAGCGGCTGATGGGACATCTCTCGTGCACGGCTGAAAAATACTCAGGTCAAGGCAAGAGAGCTGGCTCGAAGACAGATGTTGATTCCGTTGGAGTCTGCCTGGACAGGCCGTTAGTTAGGCGCATCCAAGCCGGCGGTCCTGCACGCCTGGATCTCGTGCATGGACTTTGCATGCGATATCCGCAGGTCTCGGGGGGACATGGGACCCGGGGGCCCGCACGGCCGATTTATGGGGCGAGGGCACGCCGCTACCTGCATGAGCTGAAGAGGGGGTCCATTTGGTCCATGACCTGGGGAGAGGGGCTGCCAGACCTGCACAGCAGTCGGGGACAGTTGCATGACGGCACCTGGTGACAAAGCTTGTGTTTGCTGGTGTTGCACAGGCACAGGGGATTGTCTGTGCTGGACTTGCAACTGCGCATGGTGCAAGCTAGCCTGCTTTGCATGTGCATAGTTGGGAGACGGGGACAGGATCTGGGCCGGCGCGGGTGAAAGTTGCTGGGCATGCTGGGCATGCTGGAGGAAATGGCCCAAGACCTCCGCAGACTCAAGCTGGGGAAGCTCGGGCTGCCTCAAAGCATTTTCCGGTGAGCCCAGGCAAGCTGCTGTTGAATCTTCCCTGCCCGGCTCGAGGATGCCATGAGCTCTAACCAACGGGACAGCATGATGACATATTTCGGGCTGCTCGGTCGGATCTCGACCAACGCTGTCCTGCGGAAACAGAACATCCATTGCCATGCCTTCATAGGTTGCAACTCTCCTGATCTGCTTCTTGCGCAAATGCCGCAGCAGTAAGGTCTCTGAGCATATCTGTGGCCTGCCAAAGCTTGCCGAGGAGGGACTGAAACCGGCCGGATCCAATGACAGCCTCATTCGAAAGCTCGTGCCTCGAGGAATGTTGGACGGCGGTCAGCATCCTCATGAATGCAAAGCCTCGGTTGACTCAGAAATAACGAGCCCAAGATCTCCTTGATCTTGCAGCAATAGATCCGAGCGGTGAACAGAGCCAGCGTAGAGAGGCCGGCTGCTGTGGAGAGAGGCCATTGCGCACCTCAAAGCCGTAGAGTAGCAGCCCAGCAGCTATCTTGCATGCACCCGGGAAAGCTAAGAGAGCCCAAGCCGCCGACGCTTGTCGAGACGACTTAGTACACGGCTTTTGGCACGGTCCTACAACATCCGGAGCTCCCTCCTGGGATTTCAGTGCTAATGCAGGATGGTGCAGATGGCTCCTCCCTAGGCCGCAGCTCATCGCTCAGAAAAACCTGAGCAACCAGCGGAACTGCGTTGGGCTCTGATCGATTCTAAACTGGGGAACAAGCACAGCTGTGGCCGTCTTGTGCCAAAACGGCAGGTGGGCGGCCAACCAGGATTTCAATGAGAACCTTCGGCTGCGCTTGTGTTTCGGCTCGGCTTATCGGGCATTCCGATTCCACATGCTGTTTACCTGTTTTCGACGACGGTGCACCTCGCTTCACATTCAAGCGACAAGCCCCAGAACGCACCTGCGTTTGTACCGTCGTCTCGACAGGGCTGGGGTCGGAAAATCGTCATTTTCTCTCTTTCTTTCTGTCTGTTGGGCTTGGGGGTCGTCCAGCAACCCAACTGTTGGGCGTTGGGCCCGGGCCATCCTGTGTTATAGAGTGGGTGGCGTTGGGGCCCCCATGCATTCGGAACTGGCAAGGTCCGCTTTAACCTTCTGAGCTGTGATCCCCGACCCTACACACTGAACACAGACACACACGCGCACACACACACACACACACACACACACAAAACGTGTCTCTCGTTCACTAGGCCTCGGGGTTGTCCAGCGACCCTCCGTCCTTCGGCCCGCCCTCCCATTGTGTTTACGAATGGGCGGCATCTGGGTTTTCATGAACGTAGCTCTACCGGCACAGATTGCGGATGCACGCCTGAGCTGGAAGCTCCACCCCGAACACCAAGAGCCTCCAGGCCTCACCCGCGGTGTCCCTGCTGCAGCCGTCGCTGCTCCCAGCTCAGTAACAAAACAATTCATCTGTTTGTTGTTGTGTTCCCGCAGCACGTCCAAACACGATTTGTGTTCTTTGCTTTGCTGTGGGCATTGGCCGTGCAGTCCTCACGACGCGCCTGCTTGCACGACGTTTGGACTGGAGGGGGTAACCCCTCCAACCCTGCGCGCCAGCGCTACACCTCTCCCTCCCTCTCTCCCTATCTCTCTCTCTCTCTCTCTCTCTTGCTCTCTTTGCTTTGCTTTGCTCGGGACCCCCGGCTTGGCACCTCGTCCCTCTCTCTCTCTCTCTCTCTCTCTCTCTCTCTCTCTCTCTCTCTCTCTCTCTCTCTCTCTCTTGCTTGCATGCGGACAAGGAGAGCACGCATGCCCGCCTGCGCGCGAGCGCGCACCGAGTCTTCGTCCAGGTCGGCCCGCTACACAATGAGGCTTGGGTCAGCACCGGAGAAATCCCCCCTTAAGACCCTGAACTTTACAAACCCCCAGCCCTCATCGTTCCTCTCTCTCTCTCTCTCTCTCTCTCTCTTTACATCCTGCGCTCTGGGCTTCACATGAGGACCGTTTGTGCGACAATAGCACTAACACCTGGTCTTTGTGTTAAATCTGTGCATGGCACGCTTCGGCGAAACCGTGCCCCCTTCAGGCCGCTTCTGCCAGTTATCCATTCTTTGAGAAGGGCCCGCCGGAAAGGCTACAGCAGAGCAACAACCAGATGCTGGTATTCCTGGGAATCGCGGATTTGCCAGAAACATCCAAGATCGAGGGCAGGCTTTCGCTAGGTGTGATGCGTAGTGAGAAATGCCCCTGCCCTTCAAAACAGAAGCGACACGCAGGACCTGACGAATGAGAAGACGGGATCCGCGCTCGAAGCAGAGCACAAGCAACGCAAAAGCCGAAACCGTGCCTGCCCGAAGGAGTAGCACTCGCTAGACTCTGACATCACGCCCGTCCTGCTGCCCACAAAAACCAAAGACCCTGCATGACCCTGCAATCTGGGCTCCGTCGTGCCTTGTGTACAACGGGTCAGAATAACCCACCGTGCCAGCAACTTGCCTCGGACAATTTCGAGCAATGAGTGACTTCGGAACACTGCAAATTTCGAGATCCTGGTCAGCGCTGGCCAGGGTAACTTCGATCACTTTCCAACCAAATGGACGAACAGGCGAAGCCCGGATTGCCACAGTCGCAGTTCAACGTGTTATCCCGTCACCCAGACAAGAAAAAAGCACTGACACTTCTGACCTGGAGCCAAGACGGTAGAAAACCCGCTAAAATCGCGACGCCCATCGCAGGTTCGACATGCAACCCCTCCAAGTCAAGGACGATGTCGCCATCTCGTGAACATCGTTGTCTGCGGCCATACATGCCAATCCTGCAGTCAACTCCCCTCACACTGTGTTGGCTTGTTGCTCCGTTTTGGAGTGTGGTTGCATTGCTCAGGCTGTTTATGTCAAGCAGCCGAAGTCCGCTATCTTTGCCGTGCCATCACTGCTGAAGAGGATGTTTTGGCTCTTGATGTCACCTGCCGTGCATGACAATACAACCTGTGCATCTGGAGGGGACATGCACATGCAGGACTATCGCGGGCGCACGGTGGAAGATTTTGGGCCGGTGCTTGTGCAGATGGGCCAAGCCACGGCAAACCTTGCACAGAGAGCCAGGCAAACTGCCGGGACCTTGTGGGCTAAGGGTGAGGCTTCTGTGGCCGTCCGCAGTCGTTCATGCCATAAGTAAGCTTTGGATGCCTGCAGCCTGCAGGACACACGGTGTTGGAAGCTATCGTACCTCGCTCATGCCAACACCCACATATGACAGACCTACTACTGGTACCATGTCCCAGCAGTGTTAGCATTCCCTTTTCCCGCCTTCGATAAAGATCACCACCATGCAGAAGCTCATAAACCAAAGCACAGCGACGATGTCGAAAAACGCTGCAAAGACTTTCTTCAGCAAATCCCAGGAGCATCACTACCTCTCAGAGAGGCCAGAGTGTCTGGCTCGTTGAGTGAAGCGGATGTGTAGCTGGTATGTGCTCAGGCTGCGGCATTTGGATGCCTGCATCTGGACAGGAGACGAACTTCGTCTTCAAACCCCCCTCGCAATGGTGCATCCAGCACCTCCGACACCCAGAATTGCTGGAAGATACGATGCATGCAAATTCTCGACAACAAGCTCATGTCCTTAACTTCCAACCTTCACAGCCGCTTCTGTGCCCTCGCACAGTGTAGCATGGTAGACTGTACCTGATGCAGACGTTCGACTGCAACCGCTGACTCGTCGACACGCCTGAGAGGACTGATGACTTTCCCCCTCACAAGGGCGCACCACTGGCACCTGAACCCAACTGGCGAGCCGTCGAAAAGCCGTCAGTCGCCTCCGCTCTCTCAGCTCACGAAGTGTCTCTTGCTCGCGCTCGCGGCCGCTGAACCGCTGCTTGCATCCTCGCGCCTGGTGCAGTTCCTGCCATGTGTACTCAAGGGCTAAGCCTTCGAGGCCCTCGATGGCAGACTTCGGCTCTTCATTGAACTCTGCCAGGTTCCTGCCGAATCGAACAGGGCAAGCAACTGCCTAGAAAGGCCTGCAAGGCTTACACCTCTGGGCCCATGGTCCTGATCTCGGCCTTGGTGAGATCGTTCCACGCACACTGGCCACTCGAGAGTCGCTCCAGGGCCTGACGGAAAAGGATCAGCCTGTCTTGACCTCTCAGAGCCCTTTCAGTCGCCGTCTTCTGGGGACGGTAAGCCACTGTATGATGCAGGGATCGGGGTCATGCATCTTGTTTGTGTTGGCAAAGAGTCCCTGGCAGGGTCTCTGGCATGTACAGTACGACTGTGCCGCTGATCTCCCAGACTATCCGCACATTCATTCAGGGCGATGTGATCCGACAGGTGCCTTTCGCGATTACCAGAGGTGAGCTGGCAGCTGGCCTCCCCCAGCTGCTGGAAGAGCTGCATAGTGTGGGAGATCTCGCACCGTTGACCAGGCAGCGTCTCCACAGGAGATCACCCCGAGACCATGGCATTCCCAGAATGTGCACGGGCTCTGTTCTGCAACAAGAAACTAACCTCTGCCGAAAAGGAACATCATCTGCTCCGTGTCTGCTCACAGTTCAGCCAAACAGAAGCGAACACAAGTTAGCAAAAGTGCATCGACGACACTAAACCAACCGATTCATGGCACATCCAACTCTTCCGTCGGACTTCGAGCCATGTGCTTAACCACACATCTATCTGCAGGTTCTTGGCCCAGTGCTGTAAAATTCTGTGTCGCACCCTGCAACTTTCGACTCTAGAGTTTTTCGCGCAGAGAGCCATCTACCAGCCATTGAACGACCGGGGCGCAGGGTTCCTGACAGTCCTGGCACAAGGGGCTGGAGCACCATGCTGCGAGTCGCTATGTAGACGAAAGAGATGGAAGAAGCAGATGCCTTCTGCGAGGTGGCATATGCCAGGAGGACGGAGCCTTGCCCAAAACTTTTCAGGGTGGCGGCCTTAGCCTTCCATCAGAATGCCAGGCCTCCATGTTGATCGGCTTCTTACCGATGCAACACAGGTACAGCCTGTGCAGGCAAAAGAGGCTGCAGGGCCCGGCAGGAGCAGGCCTTTCATTTCTCAAGCGAGCCGGCAAAGCTCGCACGATTGGGTTCGCGACGCCCGTGTCTTGATGATCCGACCTCCAAGAGAGCTACAAGTTTCAGCGCAGGCGTGCGAGTCACATCAAATCATGCAGCCCACCTGACAACCACAACCGTGAATAGGACGCTGCACCATCATGATGAATGCGTTGCTTCCAAGCCGAGGCACACTTCTCGAAACGAGCTCTCATCTTGTGTCTCAGCTCCATCGTGGAGGCCTTACAGAACTCACAGAACATCTCTCCGGAGCAGTGGCCAGTCGCCAGGTGCCCGGCCCCTTCGAAGTGCTTTGCTACCATGGAGCCCCCCTCCTTAAGCTTGAAGTCGGCGATGCTCAGGACAGTTTCCTGCGGCAAGAGCAAGTGCTGACGACGGCCTCGCATGTGCGGTACAGGCACGATCGGTCCACCAGTTCAGTAGATCTGCCCTGGTCTGCATCGCGGCTACCTGAGTACTACCACGACAGTGACATGACAAATCCTTTCGCGTGTCCCGGATAGGTGTCAGATCCCGAAGAGCGCTGGCTAGATTCGAGCCCGATCACGGACGGGCCCGGCTCGGATTGCCAGGCCGTCGAATCAGTTTGTAACGGTCTGACTCATTCAGCGGATCGGGACCGCAATCACTCTGACCCGCCTAGCATAAGCCATCCCCGAGACGAGATGTAAGAAAGTCATCTTACAAGGAGGCGCGAACAAGGAACGCTTTTCAAGCAGAACTTGAGTCACATCCATTTCTTAAACGTGCATGGCTTGTTCTTGTGCAAGCCGTACTGTGCACTGAGGGCGCATTGGCTAACCTTTGGCCAATGGTGGAAATAATCTGCATCTCCAAGCCTTGCATCTCACTGGTTGTTGGCGAGCACGATTGCATGCATACTACACTGTCGTTTGCGAAACTGCCATTGCACGGTGAGTAGCAACACTCGGACCTACCTCAAATCGCTTCCTGTGGCTCTGCCTCACGATGGTGCGATTCCCAACAGGAAAACACTTCTGCATGGCTCACGTGCGCCGTGAGGCTTTGCGCTGCTTTCTCTTACCTCGTTTGCGACCACCGTTGGAGAAGCCGCCTCATGGGTCAGCGAGATACGACAACTCAAAGTCGGCGAAACAGCACGGGACTAAACCAGACAGCGCATGCTACCTTTGCAATGCCGTGCATCCTTTTCGCAGGCACTCTGACTTTGACCGCAAAGGAAGATCAGGCAAGATGCCCTTCTCCTCGAATCCCTTGACGTTGACCAGCGGAAGCAGCCGATGCTCCACCTGACGGGCTGGAGCGGGACGCGAGAGACAAAAGCGTGCCCAGGGGCCAGGGCCTCCACCAGATCGGCTTGGTTCTTTAGAACCTGCTCAGAAAGACTTGTCTAAAGACTTTTGCGAGTGGTCCGGTTCCCCACCTTGCCCAAGTCTTTGTAGGCCTGTGGAGCCTCGTCTCTCACAGCCGGATTGGTGTCGCAAATGATGCCTTTCATCGAGGCCTCAAAGGCTTCCTCTGCACTGCGCGGCTGGCCGAACTTTGAACTTTGCTCTCAGGATTCCGTACGCTGGAAGCACCGGGATGGCTGTCCTGTGGGATCTCCTTCTTCGCCCGCGTCCTGGACATGGTCCTCGGCCCACGACATGCCGAAATGCCACCCCCCGCCACGCCTAGACCTGCGGACTCTTGGCCTGCCAGCGCCATGAGAGCAGCTTTGCCAAGAGCCTCCGCATCGCGCGGCAGCGATGTGCATCAGAAGGGTCCAGCCCAGCCTCTGGCTCCACGGCCCTTGACTATGTAGCTGCCCACCTAAGAAGTCTTTAAAGGATTCACAGAAGAGAACTGCAGAACTTCGGCTCCGCTCATCCGAGGCGGGAGCTCCCATGCTGCCTGGGATGATGCCATACTGGCCCTCACGAGCACTGGTGGCGCCTTTTCGCGTGACCCAGAGGTTCTTCTCCTGGGTGGCACCCGATTCACGAGCGCTCGCGCACATGAACATCCCTCCGCATCGACATTGTCCTTGACGGCGCCAGTTTTGTGGTCATAGAAGCGGCATTTCTCGCACCTTGAATTGGACAGGATATGAAGCATCCGCCTCGTACGTTCATGGATGTCGCCCATTAATCATTCTCCTTACATGCCCACTCACAGAGACGGTACTGAGGAAACCACTGGCAGAAGTTGTGGTGGGCGTTGACAGCCCTTGACATGTCCGCTCGTTTTCCAGTAACCTCCTCCACCGATGAAACCATCAGATTCATCATGCTGTTCCGGTTCTCTCTGGCGTATGACTGACCTTGGAGAAACCCGCAATAAAGGTCTCTTGAACGGCACAGCAGTCTAGCTTTCAGATGTTGGTACTGTTGAACACTGCGTTTGCGGGGCATAAAGAAACGGTATCCGACCAATTGTGCGACCAAGCAACACCATTGCATGTCTTTGAGATAGTTTTGTCCTTCGGCACTGTCGATCTCCAGGTAATTCAACGAGCCATGCTGACCTCTAAGACGGCGTCCCCTTAGGGTCAGACTAGACAAAACGCAGCTGTGGCACTGTCTCACAGTGCGAAGCCAGTTTTGGCCACTGCCAGGCCTGTCACCTGCTATTGAGTCGTAGAAAGAGGCGGTTGTGTTGCCAACATTTCGGCTTCCACTGTGGAGCATACACCACACCTGCGACAAACCATGGCAGGTCCAAACTTGCAAGAGTTGTTTCGACGAAGCCGCTGCCTATGTGTTTATGACAGCCCAAGTCCTCGAGCATTGGACCATGCAGAAAAGACTAAATACAACTGTGGACGACGACCTCGAAGTGAAACCGAAACAAGCCAAGACCGACCGAAGTCATGGACCTTGAACCGAGCTCCAAAACCTGAAACCAGAACTTTGAAGCTTTCGCCCCGAAACCCCAAGCCTTCAATTCAAACACCCCAGGCAAAAGGAGAACAGGAACTTCGTGGCATTATGCGAAGTCACGAGTTTAGGTGTTAAAGGGATTTTCTGTTACAGCTGCCACGCGGTTCTGGTTCTTGGCCCAGACTTGATTCCTCTGCTCCAGTTTCATATGACAGCCAGTTTCCGATAACATCAGGACCCGCGCAAAACAAAAGAGAGAGTTCCCACGGCGTCTGTGACCTTCAAGTGTCGGGCTGAGCCCCCAAGCCTGCTCGTCGCCCTCGGCGTACACGACCTCCAAGAAGTGATTGCCGCCGCCCAACGTTCCCAGCTGCTTGGCAATCCTGTCTTCTTTATCGATGCGCTCAGCGAGATAGTCGGTCGGGTGGTGCTCGCCTGTTGCGAGCACTTGCGATTCATGCGCAAAGTTGAATTGCGCAATCACTAGTCACTCGCCTGTAGCTATAGCTATGTCAGCATTATTGCCTCGAAGGCGCGACTGATGTCCTTCAAGGTTCCTTTGGCCCAAGAAAGCTGCACAGGGTGCGAATCGAAGGATGTTGGGATGCGCTCTTTGATCAAGGCTTGCAGTTTGCGAAGCTTCTCTTCGGACATATCCTGCTTGTACAGGCCGTCGACGGGAACAGCACACATTCCACAGCCAATGTCGACACCGACGGCATTAGGACAGACATATTTCTCTGAAGCGAAGACTGCACCAATTGCCACACCTCGGCTGAGGCTGTAGAGCATGCTTCACATCTTGCTGTCCATGCGACAGATCGCACCTCAAAGCCCGGCCTTTTCCCAGGTGAACATCTGGCATCGCGGCCACATGTCCCACTGGAAGAGGGGACTCCTTCAAGACGGTGCCCAAGCAAGCGCGTCGCTTGGCACCACAACATCGTGACATCACTGCACTACAAGGGTATCAGCCAACTGTTTCCGGGACAAGTTGCAGCCAAGCTGATCAATTGCTCCAAAGCCTGTGCAGGTACTGCCAGAGTCCATTGGCCGACACTCTCAAGCAACGGAACGGGCCTGCTCTTCAACTTCCCTCCGGGGCGCGTAAAGGACAACCTTCGCTACCAGTGCAAAATAATGCAAATTATGACTGCCAATCGTCGATGCATCAGGGAATCTACTAAGCACTTCTGACTTCCGACATGCAGCTGGCACTCCTTTGGTCTCGATAAACTCCGGCAAGGCTTCGCTCCCTGTGCTCCTGCACCAACTCCAAGGTGTCGGATTGGATGACTTGCACAAAGAAGCCCGCTGATGCAACGGACAGCTGAATGCAAATGCCAAGCCTCGCTGTTCGCCTGTGCCGGCGCCAGTGCCGATTCCACAGCCGCTGCGACGCCAAGGCTGCCGTCAACGAACCTGGTCACACAGCGTGGAAGCGGCAAGAGCCTCAAAGTGCACATGCTGAGCACTCGCCTAGAACAGGAGCCGCCGGCCAGCCCGATCTCCCGCGGCACTCGGTGACAGGCAGCGTGGTGGTCGCCAAAGAGATTTTCTGATCTCCCGCAAGCGGAATCACAAACGCTTGGCTGTCCATGGCTGGTCGGTGGCTAACACAGAACTCCGATGCCTTGACATAGAACTTCCAGCCTGCTATAACCTTCAACTAGGCTCACTAGCAGTACTCTTGCGAGACGATGTCGCGCAGATAAGATGTTGCACGCTTGGCTACAAGCAGACAGCTGCTGCCGCTGATAACTGCGTGGCACCTGTCATTTGCAATCTGAAGCACGGGCCCGTTGTCTTGGGCGCCATGTCGCTGATGATCACGTCCAGCAGAGGCACCTCGCAGTTGAAACTCAAGATCTGCAGGGGCTACCGCGCCCAATGTTTGACATAATTGATTTGTATTGATGCCGGGAACCTACAAGACATCTAAGGATGTAGGGCTTGTTTAGCAAGGATTTAAGACACAACAAAATTTGTGGAACGGCTTTGTACGGGGCCCCGGCTTTGGTGCCCTTGAAACGGAATGCGTCCTGACAACATATTGACACACAAACGCTTGGTCTTGGCCTGCATCTTCCGACGCACAGCAACCCACCGCCCAGCTCAACACCTCCACGCGGGTCTTTGCGTTCTGTGGCAGTGGGAAGTCCACCTCCTTTAAGTCAATACCTTCCACATTCCGACTTCACAGTCTGTGCACAGAGTCCCAAATCATGCAAAAGCGACAAGACATGGAGCACAACATGAAACGTGAGCACTGCCTAGAACACGCCCGGTGGGACCAATCTTCCTTAACAAGCAGGTATACCGGTGTCAGCTTTCTAGAACCAGTTTGTGTGTGTGTGTGTGTGTGTGTTTATGATGCCGGCCTCGCCGCGTAGAGTGTCCATGATCCCGGCCAGCATCCGAGGTCAAGCACTCTGTGGCCTGAGACTTCCAAGGGCACGCTCACCACAGAAAGTGTTTTCTTGGGCACATACCAGGCTGGAACAGCTTCAACCTGTTCGTGGTACCGGTGCTGAATGGAGGATTGGGGCTGAACAGCAGCAAACTTACTCTCCAACAGGCGCGGATGCTATGCTATGGTTGTAGCTTTAGTTGCAGTTGCGCTTGCACTTGTTATTCTTGCTCTTCTTGCTCTTCTTGCTCTTCTTGCTGTTCTTGCTCTTCTTGCTCTTCTTGCTCTTCTTCTCTTCTTGCTCTTCTTGCTCTTACCATTCCGGTCACTGTTGCTGGTGCTGTTGCAATTGCTGGTGCTGCTGCTGTTGCTGCTGCTGCTGGTGCCGGTGCCGGTGCCGGTGCTGGTGCTGTTGCTGGTGCTGCTGCTGCTGCTGCTGCTGCTGCTGCTGCTGCTGCTGCTGCTGCTGCTGCTGCTGCTGCTGGTGCCGGTGCTGGTGCTGGTGCTGGTGCTGGCGCTGGTGCTCGTGCTTTTGCTATTGGCGTTGCCGTTGCTGTTGCTGTTGCTGCTGACGCTTCTGCTGCTTTTGTTGCTGCCTTAAAAGTAGCAGTGGCGGCAGCAGCAGCAGGAGCAGGAGCAGGAGTTAGGGTTATCATTATCAGAATTAGTAGTATTAGTAGTATTAGTAGTATTAGTAGTATTAGTAGTATTAGTAGCATTAGTAGTAGTAGTACTACTACTACTACTACTACTACTACTACTACGACTACTACTGCTACTACCACTACCACTACTACTACTACTACTACTACTACTACTACTACTACTACTACTACTACTACTACTACTACTGCTACTGCTACTAGTAGGAGACGTAGTAGAAGTAGCAGTAGTGGTAGAGGTAGTGGTAGTGGTAGTAGTAGTAGTAGTAGTAGTAGCAGCAGCAGCAGTAGTCGTAGTAGCAGTATCATCAGTATCAGCAGTAGTAGTAGCATATACGGCACGAGAAGGATATTCGGGCTCTTACAGGCTTTCAGCTCTGAGTCGAAGCTCTCCTTTCCTAGGTCCTCGTCTGCCAGTGGCGGATTCAAGGCCCTCTCCATAACCGGAATGCCGTGCCTCCGGTCGAGTTCCTCCAGTTTGTAGTATGCACGAGCAGGCCTCAAGCAGCGAATGCAGGGGCAGGCATTCTAGCGCCAAGCCCAAACCCAGAAGCCAAGTCCTGAGCACTCCCTCCTCTCTCGCCCTCCGAGTCCAGTACCTCAAGCAGCAGAATCTGATGCTCGACAGACGAGCAATGCAATTTGATGTGTGGGCACTCGTCTGAAGTGTATGGTGTCGGTCCAGCCTGATAAGAGACTGCACCAAGAGAGGCGAGGTTCGTACACGCATCGGTTCCTACTACTACTACTACTACTACTACTACTCCTACTACTACCACTACCACTACCACGACGACGACGACGACAACGACGACTACTACTACTACTACTACTACCTACTACCTACTACCTACTACCTACTACATACTACCTACTACCAAATACCTACTACCTACTACCTACTACCTACTACCTACTACCTACTACCTACTACTACTACTACTACTACTACTACTACTACTACTGCTACTACTACTACTACCACTACCACTATTTCTACTACTACTACTACTACTACTACTACTACTACTACTACTACTACTACTACTAAGGCTTACTACTACTACTACTACTACTACTACTGCTACTACTACTACTATCACCACTACTACTACTACTACTACTACTACTACTACTACTACTACTGCTACTACTACTACTACTATTACTACTACTACTGCTACTGCGACTCCTACTGCCACTGCTTCTGCTACTGCTACTCCTATGACTGCGACTACTACTACTACTACTACTACTACTACTACTACTACTACTACTACTACTACTTCTACTACTACTACTACTACTACTACTTCTACTACTACACTACTAAGGCTTACTACTACTACTACTACTACTACTACCACCTACTACTACTACTACTACTACTGCTGCTACTACTACTACTACTACCCTGCTACTACCACTACTACTACTACTACTACTGCTACTACTGCGAACACTTCTAGGGGTACAGTTGCCCTTCGAACCGGAACCGCCCTTTGATTGTGCTACTTGCGCCTCTTGCCTCACCCGCCCCTTGCCTCACTCACATGCCCCCGTTGACCCGAACGTCCACCTGCACTCCCGTTCCCCTAAACCCTAACAACCCTAAAACCCTGAACCTACTTGCGAAAGGTTATCGTCATCGCAACAGTAAAGTAACGCCGCCTGTGCGAACCCGCGCTCTGGCATATGAGTTTTCTTTGAAGAATAATGTGGTTTTTGCCACGCAACATGTGGTTGTTTCAACTTCACAAACTATATGGCAGAGGCAGCATCGCGCAGGCAACGAAATTTATCTGACATGTGTTTGCACAGCTTATCAATGCTGGAGAGTCTCTTCCGTCAACGAACACCGCTTTGCAGTCTTACATGCTTTGATGCCGGAATGTTGTTGGCCCGAAGCTATGACTTTGTAATGCTGGTTTTCGGCTCGCATTGTCGTCATACTGACGTGATTCTCTTCTCTTTGAGAAAAGCTAGGATGTCTGGTGCATGTTTGTCTTGATAGAAACTGTGTGTTGTTCCAAACAAAACGTGTTTTTTCAAGTTCAGAGGCTATCTGGCAGAGGCAACATCGCGTACACAGCGCAGGGAACGAAGTGTTCGGAGAATGGTGGAGAGGCGCTTTCCTTCGCAAAAACCTTCGTGCTGCTTTGACTCTGGAATTGTGATTTCACGGTTTGTTCTGGGATCAGGCTGATACGGTCACATGTATTTCAGCCAAAAAAAGGCACGACACAGTCGAGAAGTAACAGCATCAGATGAATGCGCGGGTGACAGTGCTTCGGAGGAGCAGTGTGAAGGAACTTATGATAGTGAGGATGATGAGGATCATTCAACGTGGTGATTATTTTATGAAGATGAAGATTATGATCATAACTGTGGTTAGGATGAAGAGGAGATGATGCTGAGGGATACAGGGAATCTGTGGGCGGGAGTAATTCAGAGGAGCATTGTGCCGATCATCATGGTGAGGATGCTGAAAACTGATGATGATGATGATGATGATGACCGTGACCATGATGATTATGATGATGATGATGATAGTAATGATTCGAACCCGCTGGCAGGATCGGGACCCGGAGCTGGAACGGGCACTGCGTCTGCAGTAAGCCAGGCTGCATGGGGCGAACATGTCGTTAGTTCGCCGCCTAGTAGTAGTAGTAGTAGTAGTAGTAGTACTACTACTACTACTAGTAGTAGTACTAGTAGTAGTTGTAGTAGTAGTAGTAGTAGTAGCAGTAGTAGCAGCAGTAGCAGTACTAGCAGTACTAGCAGTAGCAGTAGCAGTAACAGTAGCAGCAGCAGTAGCAGTAGCCGTAGCGGTAGCGGTCGCAGTCGCAGTCGTAGTACTGGTAGCAGTAGCAGTAGCAGTAGCTCATACATACATACATACATACATACATACATACATGCATGCATGCATGCATGCATGCGTGCATGCGTGCATGCGTGCATGCGTGCATGCGTGCATGCGTGCATGCGTGTAATGCCTTTTCTCTCTGTATCGGTATCACTCACTCACTCACACACTCACTCACGCCGGCTTGCTCGATAAGACTCTGACGCGCAATCCAAGCTTTCCTGGCGGCGCACCTTTGAAACAGCAGCGCCATGTTTGCGAGCATTAGAGCCTGCAGATCTATCTGAGCTGATGGCCACTCCTCAGCCGGACACACCTGTCTAGCTTCCAAGACTCGGTCACTCCAGTATGACTCTACACAGACACAGATACAGACTCAAATGAACGAGACGCAAACACAGTGGCACCGACTGGGTGGAGATAGCTTCCGGAGAGCATTCAGAAAATGTCCAACGCAGCGAGAACGCAGATTCGGGTCAGGCACCATCAAAACATTCATGTTAAGCAGTCACTTCAAGCTGGTAGCATACCGAACGCGATTTCAAGGTCGCTACAGAACAGGACTCAGTCCCTAAACCAGCTCCATATCAAGCCAACACAGAAATGGCGACGCACCTACAGAGATGTTCAAACTAGCCCTCTTGGTACTGGTCCTAAGATCATATCTTTCTGTGTGTGTGTGTATATATATATATATATATACATTTCTGCATGTAGATATAGACATAGATATAGATACAGATATAGATATAGATATAGAGATGCACCCATATATACATACATACATGTGTATGTATTTATGCATATATACATGAAGCATACTCACACATATGTATGTATATATATATATAAACTTAAACGGATCCCAATGAAGATATACACATACTTTAAACATGTATATATATATATATACATCGTATTTCGATATATGGATCTATATGTCTATAGGCCGATAGAAAATATATAGAGGCATAGAGATATACAAATACAGAGATATGGAGGTATGATGATATATGGTTATGTTGGTATATATGCATGTAGAAAAAACGATATACAGATCGATAGATACATCAAATATTCCGATATGTAGATATACAGAGACAGAGACACATAGAATGGACATGAATACATACTGCCAGCCTTCTCTGAGAACTGCGCTGCTGAATTACTAGGTTTGCGGCCCTCGCCCTTCCGCAAAGAAGCGTGGGCTCGCTCAGGCTTAGGCTTTCCCCATCTGAGATGTTGACACGAGAACCCTTTCCAGAAACTCCTTAACAGCCTTAGCCTTAGGAGACCTTTTTGTTTCGCAGCCGGCCTGTCTGGAACAAAACAGCTTGCAACGCCAATCCTGGCCATGTGAACGGAGAATTAGCACGACAAGTTGAGCATGTGCTGCCACATACGTTGTGAAATCTACTTTTAAGGGCGGGGCCAAAGGATGATAGCGCAGGCCTCGACAAGCGCTGGTACTGATGCTCCGAAGATTCTCACAGCATCAGGAGACATTACCATCTCAATCTCAGAGCACTCTCAGCAGAGCGCGGAGCCGCCGGTTTTGTGGGGAATTTTCCATGGCCAAAGCTCCCGCATGAGGACATAAGCGATTCGAGCTGCTCTGAAAGGACCTTGCTGGGGATGGCTGCAAGTCTGCTGGACTCAGCACCTCGTGAGAACGGTGCTTAGCTCGACAGTGACGGTCGTGGGTGTTTGCAACCTCTGGTTTTTGTGAGCCAAAGCTGCAGAGCGATCTGAAGCGGATATGCAGAAGCACCAACATCTGAAGGACGAAGGCTGCATGCACATCGCACCGAGCAGGCAGAGAAAGCTGATTCCACTGCAATCAGCACAAGCAAAAGACGCTGCCCAAAAACGCCTTTTCTGTGCTATCCGAAGGGCGTCGCTCTCACCATGCCAGCCTGGCAAAAGTAATAGGTGCAAACCCATCTTTCTTTTAGAGCAGACAACGCCAGGCGCCAGAATCGCACCAACACAGTTGCAAAAAGGTCGGAGAGCAGACTCTGCCAAAGACATTGAAAGGCTCTTCACATCTTGGATCCTCCTCAACCCGAAGTACTCCGCGGTGAACCCTATGTCAATCGTCCGCGAACGTCTGAGTCCTCGTAATTCACTACTGACTCAACGCATGGTTAGCGAGCCTGGTTGAAAGGGGTTGCTTGGGCTGCTCCTCGAGAGAACTGTGCGGTTTGAGAAGCGAACTCGGCAACAGCCAAACAAGTTCAACGGCCGCGGCTCCTGCAGCTGGCGGGGCCTAGCACGGCACACATTGACAATTTAAGACAGTACCAGGACAGGCTGGGCACCGACAGTATCATGTCGTGTCGTGATCGGTAAGGAACCGGCAGCTCCTGCTCCACATGGCCCCAGCCCCCCGCAAGGCCTCATTTCGGCTGCCATCTCGCCAAGCTGTTACCCCAAAGGACCGTATTGCCGGCAAGAACACGAAAGCGTGTAAAGCTCAACAGCCGAAAACGGTAACAAACATGTCTGAAGCTGGAAGTGTGTTTCCTGCTACGGCTCCAAGTCATGGAAAGTTTGACAACCTCTGGGTGTCTGACGCTGCACCGCCTGAGCTGAACGAACCCAGTTCTGAAAGAGGTTGTTTGTGGTTGGTGGCCGCCATGTCATGCAGCAGAAAGTTGCACCCCACCTGCAGGTCCTCCAAGCGGGTTTACCTGAAACACTTCCCAGCTCTCCAAAGCACCAGATGATCAAACTGGCCGGCTGGGCATAGAGGGCCGATGCACCAGCATTTCTTTGAAAAGCTCCGGCAGCGTACGGGTTGCCTGAAGAGGAAGGGAGGGTCCAGCACGAAGCTCGCGGCACTCTTTGCTCCAACACCCGGCCTCCTGCTGGAGGCGGTGGCCCACCCATTGGCGCACCCATTGGCGGTGGCCCGCCCATTGGTGGTGGCCCGCCCATTGGTGGTGGCCCACCCATTGGCGGAGGCCCACCCATTGGCGGAGGCCCGCCCATTGGCGGCCCACCCATCGGCGGCCCAACGGGAGGGGGACCGTCGTTCGGCGGTGGACCCATGGGCGGCGAGACGCCCATTGGCGGTGGACCGACCATGGGAGGAGCTCCGAAGCCACCCTTGCCATGAAATCAGTGCCAACCCAATCCAACGATTATTCTGGAAGGTCAGTGCCGGGCCATTGACGGTGGGGGTGGTATATCTGAAACCTGGCAGAGATAACGAGAAAGAACATAGAGAATAAGAACTCGCAAGCATGGCTCTGCCCAAGCTGCGGCTGTGACCTTTGGGAGTAGCTTCTTGCCCGTCAGCGGGTCGTACTCCGAGACGTCGGCCTGGTCTTTGTCCTCATTTAACACTCTTCACTGCGAGAAACCCTGGCTCGTCGTCCTATCAACCGCAGCCCGCGGTTCTCCTCCACACCATGCTGCATCCAACGACCTTTGTCTTTGTCGTAGTAGAACCCTTGCTCCTGACTTGACTTATTCAAGCCGATGGAAATTCTCACATGAAAAAGTCCAAAGAACACGAACAAGGTGCCTTCTTCTCCTCCTTTTCCGGACTATTTCTGTTGTCGCCCTGCGTTCTGTTCATTGCAGCCTTGCTGGCACATGCACTGGCAGCACTTCTTCAAGTCGTGGTGGAGAAATGAGGAGCAAACCGAAAAAAGGGACTTGCCAAAGCCAAATACCGCCTGGTCACGATCGCGGCTGGCATTTCGGCTGATCAGGCAGGGTGGGACCGCTCACCTTGCCAGCATTGATCAAGGGGTCGTTTTCCAGCGTATCGGCATAGTCCATGCGTTCCGGTGGCTTCGCTCTGTCCTTCTCAAGGAAAAAAACGGCTCATGCGGAAATGGTCGACTTTCGACCAGGCTGCACCTGGGTGCTTCCGCCGTCCGGCTGCCCCTTGCCATCACACATTCTCAGACAGAGGAATCGTGTCATCCAACCGAGGCAGCAACGAAGCCACCTCCCATGCCACCTGGCGGCAACAGTGTGACGAACGTGTGGAACTTCTCCTTGACACTGAAAGCTGGCTGGCGTCACTATAGGGCGCACTGGAGAAAGGCTGCGAAGTGCTGGGTGGAGCCTCTCAAACCAAGCAACCATGAGACAAAAACCCAGGATGGATCCACGTCAGTGCTTCCAAACTCGCCACTGGGTCAGGAACAAAGCCGTCCCCCACGCCACCTGGCGCAGCTGCCGATCAAAGGCCAGCACGCTTTTTATGTGCTGTGGCCTCCGGCACCACCAAACAGGGCGCTGCCGGCGAAAGGCTGTGAGCTTGGCGGAACCTGCAGAGGGGGCGAAAGACCGAATTGACCAGGTGCACAGGGACACGGTAACTCAACAGCACTCCTGCAAGTCAGCGCTTTGCGGCTGCGGCTGTGGGGACGGCGGGAACGGGGAAGCGCCGAAGCCGGAGTTCATCGGAGGCCTCAGAGCCAGCGGAACTTCTCTCATTGCCCTCGCCAACGAATCAAGACCGAGCTAGCAGCGTCGGGTAAGCTGGGTTGGAGAAGGGGCCTGCGCGGAATGGCACGATGCATGCAGGCCAGCAGATGCACTCACAAAGCACCTGGCCTGGGGTGGGTTGAGGAGACGAAAATTGCGTAGCCGGTGGCGGGGTGGGTACAGGTTGTGCTGGCGTCTGCGGTGGCTGCGCAGGCAATGGCTGCGGCACAGGCAGTGGCTGCGCAGGCAGTGGCTGCGCAGGCAGTGGCTGCGCAGGCAGTGGCTGGAAAGGCTGCATCGGTGGAAAACTGGATGATGGAAAAGTGCCCGCAGGCTGCAGCAACGGCTGCGCAGCTGGCTGCAGGCTGCTGTCCGGCCTTGTAAACACGGGGACAAAGCGCTGTCTCTGGCTGCGCACACCTTTATCTAGCATGGATCGTCTGCATTCCTGCGCATGTTTACTTGCGCTCGTGCTAATAGACTCAGAAGGGTACTCGTCTGCTGGCAAAGCTGGTGGCGGAGTCGGCTTGACCGCCAAGCCCGTCGTCTCAGCAAAGTTACGAACAAGGTCCTGTCAACTGAAAACTTGGCTACATCCGCAGACCTTGTAGAACTGCACATGTCCTTGAAAACCTTGCCGACCCTTGGGGCATCTGCTGCCTGACCTGAATAGACTCGTAGACCACCCTAGACACCCAAATGCACAGCGACTGACGAGCTGAGAGATCTGCCAGCCAAGCTCGGATTCAAGACCTGCCCACGCGATTCAAAGCACGGTTTTCGTGACAAGGAGTTGCACATGCCTCGTGGAATTCACGCATGCTCGATCTGAATGCCTCGGGGCTGTTTTAAGCTTCCGAGGATAGCATAGGCTTGAACAGCAAAGCACTATCGCCAGCTTGGAAATGAGTTCTTCAACATAAGTTGGCAGCATCAGAGAGGCGATTCTGCGGTACGGCCTTTACAAAAGCCTCCCGCAAAGAATCAATTGTCGCCAGCGTGCCCATAAGAGCCCTTTGTCACGGGAGCACCTGCCTGAAGCAAAGTCATGTAGCGTCGAGCTTTGTCGACGAGGCCCACATCAGCAAGCAGCATGGCCTGTGAAAGCCGTGCAAAGCCTTCCTTGACGAATTCTAGCGGAGAGGATTTTGTCAGACCCTGAAGAGTCGAAGCTGTGCCGCTGTGAGGTCGATTCAGTGTTGCTGGACGAGCCACGTGTGCCAGCTTGAAGGGCTGTATGGTAGGACAGAGCGCGTCTGCATCTCCGCATCGAATGGCCTGGGGTTACGAAATCACTCGCCCGAGGAGGTTGAAAGCGGCATGCCGAGAGCATGAGGCTTGGGCATACTCGTATGCCTCGGACCTGGCTTTGGCTGAGGTGTGCAGTGCAGTGACAGTGCGAGATTGTTTGTTCCAAGCAACAGTGGGGGGGACGATAAGATAGAAGAAGCTACAAAAACAATGACATCGGGATAGTTCATCTTCGCTGCCTCAACCCGAAAGGCACTGCTTCCCTTCTTGGCCCTTGTTAAAGGTGCAATGGTGCACATCTGCAGCGCCAGGGGGTCGAGGAGGCGAGCCTTTCAGGAAACAGAACTTGCGACTTGCTCCGGAGACAATAAACTAAAGAGGACTCAGACTTGGTGAGTTTCTTGAGTCTTCCGTTGAAGAAACAGAGGGCCCTGCGAAGTTCTTCGGGCTGCGATGCTCCACGCCCAGTATGCACACCATGCCTCAGCAAGCGTTGCAAGTCGACAGCCGTCGAAGCGCGAAACACCCCTTGGAAGGAAGGTAAAGCCTCTGGCTGGATGGAGCATCAACCTCGGGACACATGGGGCGTGGGGCGGCGCGGGGCGTCTCATCTCTCGACGCGATGGGCGCGCGAAGCTCCAAGATGCTCCAAGGCCCGGGCAGCTTCCAGAGTTCTCTCACCGGTCATGAGGTAGCACCTTCCGCGTGCTACAAGTAGCGAGAGCAAGACCAGGTCTCAAGCGTCGGATGAGCCGACTTGGTACTGAGTTTGGGACACGTGGGCTGCGAAGACATCTCCAGCACTTGCGAGCCTGCAGGACGGAACCCGCATGAATTCGGTGCCCTCTTCATGTTGTGGTGCCGGGAACCCGAGATCTATGAATCGGCCTTGAAGCCAGGATCTCGATGAACTTTACGGCATCATTTCGATGCTCGCACGGCCGCAGCCTTTGCAGGTCTGCTATCTGCTCCCATACTAAGACTAGTGGCTCTTGCTCAGGCTGACGCAGTAAGGAAAACATGGCAGCAATCGCTGGCCATCCTCGGAAGATGCCGGAACTGCTGTGACAGCTGCTACGGCACTAAAGGCACCGTAGCGGCTCCCGGAGTAACGCAGGTGCCAGGTTGCCGAGAGATGGGCCGGCCATTGCTTTGTCGGAGATGTCAGGCTGACCTCCTGGCACGATTCACAGAAGACAAGGCTTGGAACGCGTCTTCTGAGCCGCGAAAGAAGTCTCCTTTCGCCATGGTTTCATAAAGCAGGAGAAGTGCGAGAACGGCAGGATCCTGCCACTGACCGCCGCAGCTTCTTCACTTCATTGACAAGCAGAGTAGTGAAGTGCACGTCCTGCAGCTCTTGAGCAGACAGGCCTGGTGAAACCTGATCTTCGGCGGAGGCAAGATCCACACCTCCTACAGTCTCCTTTAATATGCTCACTGTAGCTCTGGGGATTCAGCTTCGCTGCTGCCAGCGCTGGCAGCTTCGGAAAAACGAAGGAGGACTGTATCCTTCAAGCTGCTCCAAGCGTCCCCTTTCTCCGGCCCAGTGAGAGCCGAGGACCGAGGACCCCGCGAAAGACGGAGGGTCGACTAGCCGCGAACTGAGCAAGACAGGCAGTGGCCGTGAGCATACGCAGGTATCTAGACCAAGACAAAGACATCGCCATCGCGTGTGACCAAAGCCCAGCTTTGCCAGCGTCCTGGCTCGCACTTCCAGTGTCTGTCTGCATGCGCTTGTCTTGCCCCAGAGCAATTCAAAAATTTGTGCCCCGTACGCATATTGCTGACTTTTTGCCCTATCTCAACCACTATCGGTTTTCTCTCGCAGAATGCTCACGGCTTTGGAAGTAAATGAGCATGCAATCACAGGCCATGACAGATACAAGTGCCATGGCGGCTTGGGAAGACCACATACCCTTTGCGGTGCTCTCCTTGATCGTTTGTGATGGGAAGCAGCGGTCAGAGTTTCCCACAGATCGAAACGTGTACGATCAATCTGCGAAGCAAACTCTTCCTATCACAGAGAAGCTAGGACAGCATCACCCTTATCCTTCCTGAAGGATGCCTCATCTGCCTAACTAAGACGTTCAGATCAGCTCTCGGTATCTAGACATCATCTCCGCCGTGCTCGTCACAGCATACACACACACACTCCATCCGAATGGCCGACCGTTCAGGGACGAACCCGCAGACAGGCCTGCCAACACCGGAAGTCGGAAGGACTCGTTACTGACCGAAGTAGTGCACGCGACGCACGGACTGCTTGACCGGTCTTGCAGATGGACCCACTGACCGACCACGGGGCTCTTTATCAGCCTATCGATTGAATGGCGGACCGGCCAGCAGAAAGACCCAGGAAAACACCAAAAGGAAACCCCACTCCGCCTCGAGCGCCCCAGAGACCTCGCCCTTGCACAGCCGAGCCTCGGGAACTGCCAAGGGGCCAAGCTGCTCTCCGTGCTTCGAGTTGCGCTAAACCGGCCGTCATCGAGTCGTGCAATCCCGGGCTTCCAACGCATATCCTTTGCATCGGGGAGAGATCACCCGCTTCTCTCAGCGACGATGCCCTGGAAGCGAGGACCTGCAACAAGAACATTCCACGAAGTCAAGTGGCTGCGGTCTCTTGGGCCGGACCGGCGTGAAGAGCTGCCAGAACTCATCGCTCTGCACTTTTCCTCGGCAAAGGCAGATGAGGCAAGACGTAAGTGACGTCAGCTTGCCCATGTCGAGGCGAGAACCGCCGGCTTTCACGAGACAGCCAAGAAAGCGACAGGCGATCGCCTGAGCTTGCTCCCTTTCTACATGTTGGAACACCACTCACCAGCACATCAATGCGACATGCGTTGAAACGCTGTCGGCGTCCGGCAGCGGAATGCGGGAATCCGGTTGCAGACTCCAGCGTGCTGCACCTGCAAGCGCCGCTGGAGCGTCGTTCAAGACAGGCGGGCGTGCAGCTAGACTGACTGAGTCGAACTCGGGGAGTGGCCCAACTTCACCCTTGTCAAAAGACAGGGCCATGCTCTCCAGGTGCCGGAGGAGCACCTGAATTCAAGCCACAGCTTCCAGAAACTCACATTCACGTAAAAGGCCAGCATGACGTAGCACGAGGCTAGAACATCGGTCGTCGAGCTCTCTACACGGCCAAAGGGTCCAGGAAACGCCTGCAGGCTCTCCTGCCTGCAGCATTGATTTTGGCAGGATTTACGTAAAGGGACACCAGAAATCCATCCTCCAAGGCCTCTGCCCAACTGAGCTCCTGGCCATTGGCCTACATGATGCCCTAACAGCTCCTTTCCATTGAAAAGCTACTTGTACCTGATGGTGTGTGTTGACTTGGGCTGGCATGCCGGCTGTCCTCAACGCTGTGCTCTTTGATACTCTTTCCTGGCACCTGCAGCAAGTCCGGATGAAAACACATGGGACAGGCAACTGAGTTCGCAGCAGCTTGCAGCATCTTTCCGTCCACGCTGAACGCAATAATTGCACCTGCTTGCACAAGCACAAGGCAAGCGAGTGGACAAGGCAAGCAAGTGGGCAGAGGATTCATGCTAAGACTTCGAAAGCAGAAAGAATACGGGAAACTCATACGGAGCAAGACGCAATATGGGCCGACCTCGTCCGTGTGGAACAGCCATCTGCCCTCATCTGCTCACAGCGCTCTCACAAGTTCAAGTTGGGACGGTCAGTGCGGCTCAGCATGCAGAGCTTGCTGCATGTATGCAAACCCTGTCTGTCTGCCAGCGTGTCGTATGTATGTACGTATGTACGTACGCAAGCACGCAGGTAGGTATGTATGTATGCAAGTATAGTGTATGCGGATGCATATTCATCAACCTACATCAATACATGTGTACATGGCCATGGAGATTGCGCATGCGTGCATGCCATGTGAGATAACAATGCATTCGACTGCTCACCCAGTTTCGACTTACATGCACAGTACCTAATCACGCTCATGCTTTTGCCTTTGACGTAACACGGCCACAAAACTGTACAAAGAACTGTACATACCACAGCTCGGTTATCAGATGTCATCAGAGGGCATCAATATAATGTCCAACACTGTATATGCGCACGAATACAGATGTCACATAAAAATCGACACATACATACATACGCACATACATACATACATACATACATACATACATACAAATGCATGCATGTATGCATACACACATACACACCTACATACCTACATACTTCTTCCTCCGCCGCGACAGAGGTTCGTGTTATGTACGGCAGCCATCGGCTGGCATCTTCATCGAGATGCTTGCTCATTTCAGATACATGCATACCGTCATACCTACGTACGCACCTACATACGGTACATACATACATACATACGTGCGTACATACATACACGCGATCATGCATGCATGCATGCATATATGCACACATGCATACCTGCAGGTATACGCACCTTACGTACTTACATATACTGATGCATGCATGCATCTCTACGCACACCCGTGGCACATATTTGCAAATATGCGCATGTGCACAGACGTAGTATACACGTGTATATCTGTGAACGTGATTCTTTAGAACTTGTTCTGTCTCTCCCTATCTCTCCATCCCTAAAAACATGTCATATGGAATACATATACATATATATATATATATATATATATTCCTGCCTATCTATCTACCTCTCAACAAACGTGTGCAGAGGATTATCTATCTACCTACCTATCGACCTATCTACCCGTCTACCCATATATCCTTATCTACCTATCTACCATCCGCCTACCTGCCTACGTATCTACCTATCTACCTACCTCCCTATACTAGCTACCCACCGCTGGTTATATCTTTTCGCAATTCAGTCGCACTTTTGCAGGCACAGATTCGATGCACCATTGCATGCGTGCATGCGGGTGCATGCATACATATGTACGTACATACAACATGTATGCATACAGTGGGTGTGATACATTATGCCTATACTAACTAGGTGTCAGGACTCAAGAGAGGATCGCACGCTCGCCTCACTCTTTCGAAACCATCTGCTCAAGGCCGAAGTCCTATAGACCATTGGATTACAATCTCTTGTCACCCATACGCAAAGGTTGAATGACATGCACATGGTGCTCGTATCGCACAGAAAGCAATGGCGCACCCTACAACATTATATACTGATTTCACGGCCACTGAACCCGGTTCTAGGTCTTGACTGCCTCCACAAGAGTCGCAGTTTTTTGCGTGGGACACACCCTTGACAATGTTACACGACCAAGTGCCATGTTTGACGGCTTGGGCGATGTTTGGGGCTGTCCATTCAGCATAGTGCACGCCACTCGGGCCGTGCAACTACCTGCAAGGTGGTTGTGAAAGAGGTCCCGAGGCAGCCTCTCTGTTCCAGAGCTAGCGCAACCTACTGCAGCTGTAAACTGCCCAGAATGCAAACAAGCGGCCAGCCAAGCCTTTGGCAGTGGTGCTCGGAAAACCACATTGCACAGGCAAACTGCAGCGGCATATGGTGCTGCGAGCCCAAAGTGCCAGCAAGGTCTTTCTGATTGAGGTGACTGTCCTGCCCCAGGTTTCCAACCGCACAACGGCATGTGGAACCTCTTCGCAAAAACCACGAAGACCCGAAAATGCAGGCTGTGGCTTCTTGCCGGATCGGGCCCTGAACCCCTCTGGCTTCTGTTGGTTGGTAAGACTTCTTTAACTTTGCCATTGTGGGTGCTTGAGACGTCTGCGATTACCTAAGACTTAAGACTCCCCTCCTGGACTTCTCAACTGGGCTCAGAAAGCTACGGTCTGGGAACATGATCACCACCTTGCCACAATGTCGGTGAGGTGTTGTTGCCGTGGTGGAGTCGTCCTCGAGATCCGGATCTCTGTAAATGTGTTGGTCTTGCAGCGACTTGTCGGAGGCCAGGACATTATGGAGTCTGGAGCCGAAGTAGAGTTGAAGTATCGACAGAGATTGTTGGGTTCGGAAACCGACGTCATGTTGACCAATCTGGCCAGCTCCACTAAGGTCCCGAGAGCCGCAGAGCTTGCCCTCTCGAGGGAGCTGCTGCCTGTAGAGCATCTTACCTTGTGCATCTCTGGAGAGACGGTGGCAGCGCATGAGTAGAATCACTTTTTCGTTGGCTGTCTTTGAGCCCTTACACCAGTGAGACCGTGCGAAGCTGCACCAGGCTTTGCAAGCAGCTACTGCATCTCTGCGTCAGCGAACCTTCGACACACCTGCAACAAACTCATCCTGCAAATCCTTCTTTGCGGCAGTCTTTGGGGTCGTGGAGCCTCCTCGATGGCTTCCATGCGCTGCAGCCAGGCCACATCACAGGACCTTGCCATGTCTCAGTGAGAAGGCAACAAACCCTCTGGAGAATCGAGCTGCAGGCGCAGCTCCGGCACTAGGCGGATGGTTCTCCTTCGCGCAGCTCAACAATCTGCTCAGCTCCAAGTCAGCACCCGGTCATGTTCAGCACCGGACGAGCGGAGGGAAATAGGATGTTAGGGCGGCCGAGCACACAGCCTGCCATAACATCAACTTCGACAGCATCCACCAAGAACATCTGGAGGATCGATTGATAAATGTCTGCCGCCACCTCACGGAAGTCCAAAAATGTCAAGAACATGGACTGGCTTGGTGACGTCACCTCCAACGAACACCCAAGCTACGTCTCAAAGCTCTCTCTTTCTCTCTCTTCCTGACAGCACCTGCTGGTTGCGCCACTTGCACATGCACGCCTGGGACGAATTGCATGCCGGCTCCACTTTATGCCTTATCCTTCATGAGATGCTTGTACAAGCATGGACGACTAAGCCGAAAGCATGCCAGGACTCCCGCGAACGGCGGTCGCCTCCAAGTGAGCACTCTGGGAAACGAAGAGACACAAACATGGGGAACAACCGAACGGAACAGCACGGCGGCGGCCTGGAAGATGAACACTCAGGTCATCCGAGCTCAGCAATCCATCGCAGTCCACGTCCAGATACAAGAAAGCGAGGTGCAGAACGTCCGTCCAAACAGCCTGGCAACATAGAATCATTGCAGAGAAGAAGCTCTCGACCCACCTAGACCCGAGACCAGCCTGTGAAGTGAACCAGGAAGGGGATGCCACAGAAACCTGGGAGGTCGGATCTACGCTGTCGAAGCGGCAGCTTCCAACCATGCTTTATTGGTTGGCATCCCCCAGTTCAATGGGGGCACTCATGTAGCCTAATCCTACAACTTGAAGGTTGAACTGTTGAATGTGTATGCAAGAGGCCAAGCTCCAAAGTTCACAGAGCAACGCATCACCGGTCTCGGCCAGGAGCTGCCTACTGACCTTCTGCTTCAATTACTAGCAACTTTCTCCGGACCCTGCACCTTCCACCATGCAAGCAGATTCACGTCAAAGCGAGCAGCTTTCGGCAAGGTTGCTCAGTACCCCGAGAGATTTTAACCATGGAGGTGAGGAATCCGCAGGACAAGTCTGAAGGGCGGAAGTCCGCGGAGCCACAACAATTGCAAGGGGCTTTCTTGCCCGGCTGGTAAGCACTGCTTTCGCGTGTTCACAAGATGGTACACTGTGCCAGCATCTTCCTGATGGCATTCGTTGTCAACATCTGCTTTCTCGCCAGAAAAGCATGCTGCACCCTCGTCTCAACATCACACATCAGCAACCAAGCCCTCTTTACCAGGCCTTCTCCCCATAACTGCTAGCTGCATGCACTGAAGTGTATGAGACATTCCTTTGTACGACGACCATATGTTATCGAAAATTGTGCAAGGTGGTGTCAGCATCCAAAAACGTCCGCATCGCATCTTGAGGTGCTTGCCAATTCCATAGCCAGCCGTTCCACATATCCACCACGGCTTCCCTCGTTGCGCACGAAATCCTGCAGCTTTCTTCGCGCACTTGGAGGCCAGGGGTCATGTGAACTAGCAGATTATGCAGACTGGCTCCTGCATGCGATCCACGGCCATAAGCTCAGGCTCGGCGACGGCTCTCGCAATCGCAAGCCAACCTCGGAACACTGCGCTGTAGCCGAGGGCACTCTGCAGCTGGTTTGTCGGCAGACCCTCGATCTGCTCTCTTCACATCATATCGGCGTGAGGTTGCTGACTCAGGTAGAGTGTAGGCAGGACTACATCGCAGCTGTGATGCGGCACTTAGCATGTCTTGAACGACCCTAGCTCGAGCATCTCTCATGGCTTCATCTCCATGCGTTGCTCAGCTGAGCTACACAGGCGCTGCAAGATGTCCATACCATTCCACCTGCCACGTGGCAGTTCGATCCGCTGATACAGTCCGTCGAAGGGATCTGCAGTCTCACTGAAGCCTTCTGAAATCTAGAACCAAGCCCTGCAGTTGGGCATTAGGCTAAGAGGTTTGTATCGCGCCCGCGACCCTGCCGGTCTGTCCATCACTGTCCTGGGCGGCAGGGTCAGCATTATGAACACCCTGTCTAATGTTAGTGGTTCCAGGGTGCGCTCGTCACTGCATCGCAACAGTACCTCCGTCGTCGCGGCCATCGATCAAGGATAACTCGGTATTCCCTCGGTCTTCAAGTCTCCGTGTCGCGTGGTGCTTTGCACAAACAAACACTGCAATCCAGCTATCCTTATTGCGACTTTATCGCGTGCATTCTTCGGCAAGTGTTCCAGGATTCTAAAAAGCATACAGTATTGAGTCAGCAGCTCATGTTTCTGGACTCATGCTCCAGCAATTACTTTGGCTTGGCGTCACCTTCGCTGGATCGGTGCATCCATTCGGAGCCCAGTTTCAGCAAAGCTGTCTCTTATCTTTGGTTTAAGTTTCTCTGGAGTGCTCACTGTGCCTGATCCTTACATGTTCAAGGGGGCCAATGATGGTCATCATGAAAACAAGTCTTCCTTCCCTTAACGAACTTGTCAGGCCAACTAACCGCTCTTGACATTGTCGGAAGCAGCCGAGGTGAGCCTCATGGGCACATTCTCGAGCAGTGCCTGGTGCGCACAAAGCCTGCGGCCATGCAAAAGAAGGTTGAACAGCATCGATCATCCGCTCGAACTTGAGTCGCCTGAAGTTACCGCAAAGATCTGGAGCTGATGCTGTAGCAACGAAGGCATGGTGGAGGGCAGCTGATGCCGACAATCGTCTCGCCTGAAACACTATTACAACTCGACAGGCACAGCTGGTGCAACGATTCTGCTTCATGACGCATGCTTAGGGCATCACCGGATCTGGCCGAACGAGGGCAAGAATGAAGTCCCGAGCCGCTGCAGACAGATCCATGTTCCAAACCTGCTTCAAGTATCAGAGCAGGAAGTTGTCACCAAGACATTCGCAAGAGTCAAGAACGTTGCGTGAGCCTTCGTAGACGTGTTAATGTCACCAAAGGCCGCCAACCGAATCACCTTCGAAACGAAGTGGCACTTCTCCACAAGTATCTGTTGCTGCCAGAGCCTCTGGCCTCTGCTTCTCTTTTCTCAGGATTCTTGATGACCAACGCCTTGTTGAAAGGGCTGTGACCTTTGCGACTTCCACAACCCGAAATACTGACACCATGAAGATCTGCACACGTGGACAAGTTTCCAGCCAGTCAGGAGGAGGTAAGCGATGATGCCAACACTGGCATTCAAGCTGGATCACCATGATGTCAGAAGGACACTGTGCTCTGGCAAGGAGTGGCTCGCGCCTCCACATGTCGCTCTTACCTGCATGAAGCTCGTCACTCACGATCTCCGCCCCTTTCACCGGTGGATTCCTCGGCATGTTGTGATATGTCGCATGAAACCGTCTCCCTAGCACATTTCAGACACGGGCAGCTCGGGCGGCGCGTACCACAGCCTTACACAGTGGCACGCAACCCTGCAGACGTCCTTGCAAGTGCCAAATCTGCAGAAAGGGTGCGATCCGACCCCCTCTGCAGGGATGTGTGGTGGCGGTGCAGGCCGATCCACCTAAGTCAGGAAAATTGCCACGGTGAAATGATGTCAAGCTACGCAGCCGAAATTCGATCACTGCCCAGCCAAAATCGGCAAGCTTGATGAGGGGTGCCTGGCATGAAGTGCTACGGTAAACTGGCTCAACCCTGGCAGCAACACTGCCATTGGCCACCTGTTGCTTCTTCTCTGCTTCTTGGCCAGCATACAACAGCAGGTTCTCTGGCTTTACCTCATTCTTAGTAGGAATCACAAAACACAAGTCGCAGAGGCCACGGTGTAGGCTCCGGGCATCGCGATGCTCGATGCCCCGCTCCACCCTGACAAGTTGTAATCAGATACGAAACTGTCGACTGGGAGCACGCTTCCGTCAATGCCCTGGCTAAGTCGAGGGCAGGTGCTGCAACGCTTGCCTGGCCGTGCAGTGGTGTCGATTCGGTAGCACCCTAGTTTGGAGTTCCTGAGTGAGAACGGACATGCCAGATGAACAGCAGTTGGTGAATCAATTGCGCGACGAACTTTTCCTCCATGCAGCCCCTGTTGCATGTCAAGCGTGCCACATGTTGATCGAGCGGTGCCTACAAGCATCTATGCAGGCACCCTTTGCTTGATGCATAGAGCTCGTAGATGTCTCCCCCTTCACCTGGGCTGACTTGCAATCTGGGAGTGCGGTGTAGACCTGGCTACTCAGCAGAGTGGACAAACAAATTACAAACTCAAGAACTCCCGCACGTCAGCCAGGATGCAATGTTCCAGTACGATGGCATCCTCTTCGTTCCCCCCCTGTCAGTGACAGCCGGGTTCTTCGAGAGTGTGGGTCCTATTTTCCGCGCATGATCGTGCTTGTTCGGGTCATTGTGGACTGGACATATGCCATGGCAAAGCCGTACGGCATGTTTCTCGCTCAGGCCCGCGACCTGTCTCGGCCCACTTGGATTAGCAGTGGATGTATTACAATGGTTTCAGCACGACTGCTTATGCGGGCAGTGATGTTGAAATCGAAAGGTCGAAGAGTTTTTCCATGCGCATAGCTGTGAAACGGGACTCCCGCTGCACCTTGCCCCGGCTAAACCGAAGTGCGGGTGTGTGTGTGTGTGTGAGAGTTGCTGTTGGATTTGCCTTCAAGGGGGATTGCATGACTCCCTACTCCAGCGGAGTGTGCACGAAAGGCGTGCGCTTTGGACAGTGGGGCCTTGTTCCACCCCAAGCTGCCCAGAAGGAACGCTGCCAAAAGCATGTGCTGCAGTGCTGATCTCTATGATTCTATGACCCAATCTGCATATCTGAAACTTCCACGAGAAAGGATGAGTTCTGGCCAGGCCACCTCGAAGCTTTCAAGCAGCCTGATCACGTTGGGGTGCACGCCGGATGCGAGTAGAGCCTTCCAAAACTGTCAGCAAGAGACTGGCTACCACGAGCATGTCGGGCACATATGAGCAGGCAGTTCTCGGCATTGCCTTTTGCTCCACCTTGAACATGGTAGTCCGCTGTCGGTGGAAACGCTTTAACCTGAGAGTCCAGTCGTGCCCGTAGCGAAATGCAGGCCGCAGAGTGCAGGGGCTCCCGGCGCTACCTTCCGCCCAGGAGAACTGGAAGGGCTTGATCCACCCCATCTCTCGTCGCCTGTGTGGCCGGCAAGGCATGAAGGCCAAGACGGCTGGGGTCTGCATCTGCCTGGACGTGGACTCGGAGGTGGCCTGAGGCGGAAAGTGCTACGTGCGGTTTGTTGCCTCCCCATGCTGGCGGGGGCCCTGCATAGCGTCGTTGGGAGCCGCCGAGGCCTGCATGCTGCCAGTCGGTACCCCGAATCCTCAACGAAGCAGACCTTGCGAGCCTCGAAAACACTGGCCGTCTGCCCGGAGCCCAGTTCACGCCCAAGGACATAACGACTCCGCCAGCTGGAAACTGGCCGTCCTGTGATGGGTAATGAGCATGCTCAGGGATGTACAGTTGTACGGAGGCGGGCACAGTACGTCACAGAAGAATTCGGTGCCTGGTGACCCGTGCAAGATGGCAAAGTGGTGATGAGTCGGTGCCACCTCATGCACTAGCACCAAAGCTCCATGCGCCGACAAACTCGAGTGTTGGCTGTGCAGGGTTTGGGCGCACACCGCCCAGTCAAATTCGCTTGGCGCAGCAGCCTGCATCACTAGGCACAATAGTCAAGTCTCCGGCTGTTCCATATAGGCCTCGTCGTGGATATCATCATGGCGCAACAAGACCTGAATCACGGTAGACCAGGAACATTCAGGAAGGGTCATGGATGGAGGAACTTCAGATTCAAGGTTTTGTAAGGGAAAAATCCTCACTAGTTTGCTTCTCTCTCCTCCTGAGCCACAAGCACTCCACGTGCTGCAGCCTTGGCCGTGTGAGCAGTCCTGGTGGACACCGATGCTGGGAGGCTCCCACCGAAACACGAGCAGGACGGCTCCCTCTCTCGACCAGTTAGGATTTGCCGATCGGACGAGGCAGCAGGCCCCTTTCTACGGCTCCTCGTCAACACTCGCACACCAGAAAATTGAGATCCGGATGAGGAACACACGGTTCTGGTCTTGAATCGCTCCGTGTGTCGGATTTACGCATGCGTGTTGCCTTCGGTGTTCCTCATACTGGGACTCGCCTTTTCTTCTTGGCAGGTCTGTTGGATGGCAGGCATCATGCCGCCCCGCTTCTGCTGCGAGCCGGTTCGCTGCTGCAGTCATCTGCATGACGTGATGTACAGATGACCTTTGGCAGGTAGGTGTGACGTGGAGTGTCACATGCCGCCATCATTTGTGGCCATCGTCGCAGATTGCGAACTTGTACCTGTGCCTCCGTTCTGTACTAGCTGTGAACCCTAAACCCTGAACTGCCAACCTCCCAAACTGCCAGGAGCAACCTGACACTATCTACGCCCGCTTGTCTCTGTTGCAGTCTTTCTTTTCGAGTTGGAAATTGTTGGGCTCCTTGAGCCCTGAACATCCCAGACCCTCAAACCCTTTATACTCCCAGGCTCGAACAGGAAATCCCTAAACCCTCGAGCCTTCTCCGTGAGCCTGAGCCTACTTATATTAAGTCCCCCAAGAAACTTCCCAAGACAACAAGACAAGGAAACGAGACGGCACCTTGCAACAGCAACCCAGATACCCAGATGGTTCACGGGCTTGATCCCTGTGGATGTCAGGCTTCGCGGGCGAGGTTTAGGCTGGGATTTGTTTTTTAATGCTTGAAGATTGTCTTTCGGCACAATCTTAAACCCTGTTCAACAAACCACCTGGTCTTTCTCCAACCCAATAGGAAAGCTCCCAAGCCCGCCAGTGAAATCGCATCCACGCTTCTCAACCTTTCCACAATCATACCGCGATTTACCGCTTCTCCAATATCGGCGCTGTGTCGGTCTTCGCTCCGGTTGCATGTTTGATGGCCGCGACATGCTAAGAAAGAGATGTCGCAGAAAGGCCTAATTTGGTCCTTTACTCTGTTCTGACACACAAACGCAGGTCCTGTCCGCATTGGAACTTGGGTGCTGAACTGGGCCGGCTGGAGAAGTCCTGAGGGCAATTTTCCGCACTTCGACCCACGAAGAAGAACTCAGTTCCCAAATCTTCGCTTGGATCTGCATGGTTGTCAAACTCGCTCTAGCCACCCCTGTCCTGTTGAGTGTACTCAGCAGCTAGTGACACGACATCGAGCCGTGTGCAAATAGCCCCTGAGTTTGCGAGCTGTAGGCATGCACATGCTCAGCAAACGGCAGACAAGCTCCTGACCCATTGGAAGCTCTAGGCTTTCTAGAGCATGGCGGCTGCCATTGCGAGTTGAAGCAAGTCACAACTTCGTATCCTGTGGCTGCTCTTGCTGTGTCCGGTATATTGCGAAAATCAATCAGATAATGGACAGACCTTGCGCTGCCATGGCTATGGAAAGCCAACTAGCAAAGAGCTGGCCATTGACTGCACTCGCTGCATGACCACCTGTGCCGTCCCCTTTTGCGCCACTGTCAGGCGCCCAGCCCAAGGCGTCGCTCGCCTAGCTGTCTCGACATCCCGTCGAGGAACTGCCTGGTCAAGCTTTGCGCTTGACGGGCCCACTCGAAAACATCGTCCCGCGAAGGCCTTTCCAGGTTTTGTTCCCGGTCATGGTGATCAAGTGCAGGTGAGGCCTCGTCGATGAGACTTTCCACAATCGAGTTTGCAGTCAGTTTCTCGCACCTTCGCCTCTGCGCCGACGTCCACCCACTCTCCTGCCACCAGGCTCCAGCTGAAGTACACAGCGCCCCAACGACCACAGGAAATCTTCTTCACAGGGAAGCTTCGTCTTATTCCTACCTTCAAGACAGGCAGGCAGCTTTGCTTGACAAGTTCAACTTGTCCTGCCAACAGCTCGACCGTGGGAGCATCGGCACTGACTTCAAACTCCTTGCAGCAGTAGCTCAACTGACTCCAGCCACAGGTCCCAAGGAAGCGCGCGTCCTCTTCCTCTTCGTCTTCCTTCGCTTGAACCCACTCCCCTGCGATCAGCTCAAAGACTTGGTCGTCATCTACTCCAGCCTCCTTGGTTCAAGAGCCGGAGACCACTGCGGATCCCTGTGGCTGTGAGAAGATCGCAAATGCAACCATGATGCCAGAGCTTTCGCGGCTTCCACAAACTTCTGTCCACCCATCAAGCGAAGAAACTTCGTTCGCTCCTCTGCAACATTGACGAGGTGGTTAACTGTTAGATGATGGACCATGAAGCGCAACACGTTCACAATCCGATCCTTGCTGTTGTGAAACTGGCTGCTCTCCCAGCCGTTTGCCGTGAGCCTACCGTCAAAGAAGGTGGGAATGAAAGAACATGCTGAAAAGCATCCTTCTGCGAGAATGCTGCTCCCGCCTGCCATCTTTTGCTTCGCTGCCGGCCTTTTCAGGTTCCGGCGTGGTCCACAGGGCCTGTACAGCTCTGTAGCACATCGGATTTGTCCACAGAAGACGGCCACGACGGTCCAGAACATCAGACATCCAGCTGAGTGCAAGCTACTCGAGTCCAACCTTAAGTGCTGACTGTCCCTGAACAAGTGAATCAGCTTTAGGGTATGTGGCTGCAGCGACATGGCAACGGCTACTTTGCAGCTTCGAACGCAGCTTCCCACAGTTTCATTCCGAGGCCTTGCGCTTCTGCCTTGCCTCCTCGCGTAACCGTGCTGCATCCAGGCGCTGCCTTTGCCAAGCACCAAGCATTGACAGCAGAGCGAAAAGGAAGCTGGTGTGACTTCGGACTCTGCTGGCAAAGGGGCTGCTCTGCTCGAAACAGCCTTTGCTGCAACCTCTCCTGGTTTCGCTCCAGCCAGTCTTGCAGGCGCTGCTTCTGCTGGGTCAGCTCGGCACTTTGCGTGGCTGACGGCTTGGGCTCCTACCGCTGAGCTTCTAAACCGGCTGTGAACAAGGCTTGTCACAAAACTAGGGATGTAGGGCTCAGTTGCGATCTCCCTGATGCTCCTCCGGTGGGGGAGGCGGTGGCACTGGTGGCACTGGCGCTTCTTCTGGAAGCACACTCCGGGGATTCGGATCTGGAAGGCTCGGAAGACCTGACTGTGCAGCAATGATACTGCAAGGGCCACAGGCGATGAGGCCACCGCTGCCCGTCTCTGCTTGACTTCTCAGGCGTGCAAGAATGCTGTGCTTGACCTGCTGCGACAAGCAAGAACCAAGTCTGCTGGCGGCTGACCGACCACTACATGTACCTTGACAAACCGCGCTGCTCGTGCAGCGGGTGGAAGGTTCTGCAGCGCCGCATCAGCCAGGTCCTCGATACGCTCAACGTCCATCGAGGCTTGGAAATGCGCCGCATACCCGAATGCACTGCTGTGCTCCTGAGCTCGTTGTTCGAGCTCGCTGTCTGCCGCGCTCGGATGTGCTGCCTGCTGTCTCCATAGTTTCTTGCCCGCCCTGAGTGCTTTCCGTGGCGTGACAGGTTGCCTGTTCCTGGCTGCGTTTGGGCAGCGTGGGCCCCTGTCACAAACTGTTCCTTTTGAATGCGTCCTTCACTGTGGAAGTTTCATGCCAGCCTCCTCATCGGATGATAAACAAACGGCTTGCACAACGTGAACAGGCTGCTCACGAACCTCAACAGGTCGGCAAACTGTCAGTCCGAACAACATTAACGCATCATGCGTGAAGGTGTCGCCTGCTCGCCGCTGGCACCTTCTGCATACCCCGCTGTCACATGTGTCATTGGTTCATCCATAGCAAGCAACACTGATCTGGAAGAATGCGTGTTTAGGAAAGTGCTTGCCTACTGGTTGATCTCCACCAGCTTCCTGCGCATAAAGAGCAAGTGCTGCATCTTGCCGGCACAACCCTCAACAAAGCCAAGTTCCTTCTCCTCCACGTCCAAGTCGATGCAGCTTGGAAGCACGATCGGCTCCTTCATGGGCAGATCAGAACACCACTAGCGTCACTAGAGTCGCTAGTCTTGCTTCATGACATCCTCTCAATGCAAAAAAGACGGCCGGCCTTTGCAATCTGAGGCGCATTCTGCTTCCTCTTTCTCTTCCGTTTCGGCTGGGGCTGCAGAGGCTCCTAAAGGCTGTGGCAGAGAAATGCGGATGCGGCCAGGCACGGCCGGTCCTCTTCCGAGTCGATGCAAATAGCCTGAGGGCCATGGCGTTAATGGGCGCGAGATGTTCTTGCGTGGGTTTTGCAGAGAACTGTTGATCCCACTTGCGGCACGCCCCGCGGCCTCTGCGACATCGGGCATCAACGTCCTGTCTCATGTTGGCGACGCAAAGCAGACCCTGACAGCGACCCAACCTTCGTCGACTGCAGCTCAGCGTGGCTCCATCTTGGGCCGCGCCACTGTTGGAACGGAAGCCGACGGGCCCTTCACCTATGACCTGCCAGCGCACCTGGACCTGGGCTTCTGAGGCTTCTGCGAATGGGATCTGATGGGTTCCAAGTGCAGGCCCGGAACACTCCTACGTCTATGCTGGAGCACAGGCCAGCGACAGGCAGTGTTGCATATCATGCCCCACCTAGAATGCTGTCCAAAAAGATGCGAAAGCGGCTAACAAATCGTGCATAGGTAGCGTCATTTGTCTTGTACTTCGAGCCTGGAGCGAAAATCATTATCCGGGAATTGGCTCACGCACGTCACACTGTCGACGGCTGCGAACCTTCCCAACGCCTATGAAGCATAATGTACATGTCGAGCACTTGGCCAAATGTTGAAACTGATGCAACTGATGCTCTTTGTCTGCAATGCAGACGAGGGTTGACAAACGATGCACCGCGTCATCTGGCACGTCTCCTTATCAGAACAATAATGCGACGAACACCTTCTCAAGTGCTCCGTACTGCTGACCTCAAAGCCCTGCCGCCGATTCAACTAGCAGTGTGCAGTGTTTCAAATGGCGCGAGCCTACGACTAATTCGCAGGTGAAAATTTGGCGCTTCTGCTAAAACTTCGCGAACGCGCTGAACCTTAGCGTATCTCAGCTCAGGTGTGCAATGCATTGCCTGCCCTTGTAATCATCTGACTTGGGCACTGGCCTACCTTTGCAAGGCAGAGAAAACCTCGACTTGGACTGTGGCAAATCCTTACAGCCTCGTTTGCAACTTACCTACCTCCTGCTGCCAAGCACAGGATAAACCAGGATGTGTCAACAACTGCCCGCGTCCTCGTCCTTGCAAAAAAACGCACAGCCTCGCAGCCTCTGAGATGCCCACCACCCCCACCAACACGATCAAGACAAGGATGTTCAAGGCCTGATTGTGGGCCCCACGTGTCGAAAATCGATAAACTGAGACTGACAGTGACAACTGCCATGGCCGCTGTCACACAGAAGATCACTGGCTTCTGTCTGCTAAGTTCTGCAGCCCGGGTGGAACGGTGAGTGGGGGGGATGCAAATGGATCTGAGGCGGATGTTGTCGTTTGTGTTTCCTGTTTCGGTTGCTGTTGCAGTTGCTGTTGCAGTTGCTGTTGCTGGTGCTGTTGCTGGTGCTGGCGAAGCCTCTCGGCTCAGGAAAGGTCAGGCTAGTACAGTCGCCTTTTTCCTTTCTTGCCATGGCATTTGTCAGCGCCTGAGCAGTCCCGGTCCCAAGTCCGGGAGGGAGTATTAGATCTACAGCTCTCTAACATCTCCCAGAGGTGAGGGTTGTCGGTATTGCGAAGCCGACAGGAGCCGTACTCAACATGAGTGCTGCGAAACAGCCTAGTGGTTCGACCAAGCATCAGCCCGTTCCTAAAGGGAAGGGTAAACGCTCTTATCAAAGGGCAGCACGTAAAGCTCTGCTTGAAGGTAGTGCGGTCTACAAGGGAAGGACGATGTCGTCAACAGAGCTTGGAGTTGCTCCGGCACATGTAAAGCCCACCAATCCCGGCAGAAGGACTCGGCCTTCAAAATTTACAGAAGATAAGAATCTCAGCTATCTATCCTGGAACGCAGGATCTCTCACAACAGCAGTTTGGGAAGAGTTACTCTCCGTACTGCAAAGTGCCGCATTTCAGGATGTGAAGCTGGTAGCAATTCAGGAAACACACTGGAGGGGCTCATGGCAATTCAGCAAGTCAGGTTGGCACGTGATCAGCTCTGGCTCCACAGGGGAGAAGGGAGCCGGGGTCCTCATAATGGTGCACTCCACGCTGTGCAAGTCACAGGATCTTCGCTACAACGAGGTTGTTCCAGGAAGAGTTCTCCAGGTCCGGGTGCCGAGCAACGGCATCTCACTGGACGTCTTCAGCTGCTATCAATACGTTTGGCGCTCTAAGGAGACTGTCGCTCAGAATAAGGAAACCCGGAAGCAGACCCTTCATGCCCTAAGTAAGTCCATCCGAGCTGTTCCCAATCGCAACACTCTCCTTGTGCTAGGAGATTTTAACTCCTCGCTCAAGACCGACAACAAACACGTGGGGCCATGCACGATCCAGGCCTGCAGACTAGGGCATCGCGGATCTAAGGATCTCCAGTCATTACTGTCGGAACACCAGCTAGTCGCCACCAACACTTGGGGAGTGCATAGACCAGCCACCCACGAACAAGGCAACTCAGTCTCACAGATTGACTTCTCGTTTGTCAGGATTGCACAGTCCCAAGGCCCTGCCAGGTTTTGCCGGCCACTAAGGACCTTTCCAGTGGCATCCTGGAGGGATGGCAGTAGGCATTTCCCCCTTCTCGGTAAACTGAGGCACAGCAGGAGATACTCCGCCCAAGCCTCAAAACCCTATGACCAGCAGGCAATGGAGGACTGCTACAGACATCGTTCCCCGAAAATACAGGCATTTGCCAGGGAGGTAGACTCCCTCCTTCAGGATCATCCCCAAACCTGGCAGAGTCTCCATCAAGCAATGAACTCAGCCCTCATAACTCACTTTCCCAAGAGAAAGGGAGCAGCGCAAAGAACAGATCTCAGCATTTGGGCAGAGCGCACAGTGTTACGCTCACTCCCAATGTCAGTCAAGGTCTTAGCAGAGTTCTTGCCGGAGTTGCAGGTCCGAATGGTATTTCGCTGTTGGCTGTCAATGTCTCAGCAAAGTGCACAGGCGAAGGTAGCAAAGCGTCAGAAGCAGGAAAGGCGGAGACAGGAAATAGATGAACAGCTCGAGCAGGCAGAGCACAAATCCAAGCAAGATGGGAGTCATTCCCTCTACAAGGTGATCAAACGCTTCCGGTCTGGGAGGCCTCAGGAACGAGTTCAGCTACGTGACTCAGAGGGTCGCTTCCTAACAGCCAAGGAAGAACGTAGACAATTAGAGGAATACTCCACTGAGCTGTTTGGAGCAGGGGACGACTTCCCGCTCACAGGGATACAAGGCAGCCTGCACATCACCGAGCAAGAAGTTCAAGAACAGCTAGGCACGATAAAGCTTGGCAAAGCAGTTCCTAAAGAAAGTCCTCCCATAGTAGCTTGGCGCTCCCTAGGCCCCAATGCTATTCGGCTTATTTCGGACACTCTCAATAAGGAGGTCACTGCAGGAAGGGTTTCGGACAGCGTCACCTCGTCACAGATCTCTTGGCTTCCAAAGCCCCCCAAGAAGCCGGATAAGCCCACATCACTCCGTCCGATCGGGGTGATAGCGCCTGAGGGCAAGGTCCTGGCAGGACTTGTGAGGCAGAGACTCAAGTCCACCCTCCATCAAGCAATGCAAGGAGTCTCTCAGTTTGGCTTCGTACCAGGTAGGGGCACAGAGGAGGCGATCTGTAAGGCACTCACACATGTGGACCAGGCCAGGTTCAGGCAGGCCCTTACAACAAGAGCAGCTGGTAAAGGACAACAGGGGCTTAAGCTTAGGGGCAGTCTCACGATGAGCGTAGACATGAGCAAAGCTTTTGATACTGTGGACAGGATACGATTACGAGAAGCCCTGGAAGCTGAACAAGCAGACCCTCTTCTTATAGAGGTGGTGGGCCATCTCCACATCAAAGCCTTGTACAAGATGACAGCCAGCGATCAGAGCTTTGAGATAGCCACACGCAGGGGAATCAAGCAGGGATGCAAGCTGGCACCTTCCCTATTCGCCTTTGCATCCGGGCTTCTCTTCAGGAAGCTCTCTGGAAAAATCAGCCCCCCCGAACTAGTTAAACTACTCACCATGTACGCGGATGACAGCTTGATTCAGTCGCACTTCGAGTCTGAGTCTGGCCTCATTACAGCACTAGGATACTGCGACCTTCTTCTGGATCAATTGGTTGAACTTGGGTTCAAGGTCAATCCGTCCAAGTCAGCAATACTGCTGCAGCTACAAGGCGGTTCAGCCTCGACAATTAGGAAAAAGCTATTTCGCCAGGTAGATGGAGAGAAGTATGTCGAACTCCCTTCGGGCAGGTTGATATCGCTGCGGTACCAGGTCCCATACCTGGGGGTCATTCTTTCTTATCATGACTATGAAATGAAGACCCTTAAACATCGGCTGTCATCTAGTAAGTTAGCCATGTCAGAGGTCGCCCATGCAGTTAGGAACCATCGAGTCTTATCAGACAGACGTCGTCTGTCAATTTGGACAATAACTGCGTGGGCCTCTGCTCTGTATGCCCTTCACGTGGTAGGTCTGACACAGCAGGGATTGCAGAAGCTCCACTCACACATGATGTACCAACTTAGGTTTGTCCTGCGGAGTTACTCCCAGGAAACGAAGGAATCCAACCAGGAGTTACTCCGGAGAATACGGATCCCTCACGTGAAGGAGCAGCTGCAAAAGAGGCTTACACAGTTCATTAAGAGACAGCAACACTCAGATCCTCAGCTTCTACCACACTACAAGCTGCGCGCTGAGGCAATCAGCCAGGCTCTGGAAGGCCTTGCCATTGACTTTTCCTCTCAATCAGTAGCGGATAAGATCCTGACCTGCGGCGAGTGTGGAGCGTGTCTCTCCGGAACCGGGGCACTCCGTCGCCACCTGAAGAAGGCCCACCCAGATTCGCAGCAAAGCCTGAAAGGACCCAGATTTGATCCCATTCTGCACTCAATGCCAGGGTCAGCAACCTGCATCGCCTGTAGAGCAACATTCCGAACAGTGTTCTCTCTGCGCAAACACGTAGAAGCTTCTACATGTCCTCGGGTAGAGCTCTTGCTTCGACAACAGGAAGAGCTCCCTTTAGAAGCCCAGAACCGGATTTCACTTACAGCCAGTCTACAGTCTGATGCCCAGGAAAATCCGGAAGGAGCAGCTCGAAACCCGGTGTTCCACGATTACCTGATGGAGCACTGTGCACTCTGCGGTCAGGTCCTTGTTGGTCAGAAAGGTGCCAAACAGCACTTA